CCGACGCGGCGCCGGCGAAAACGCCGGACGGCAGTCCGTCGCGATCGATCGAGAAGAAGAGCGCTCGCGGATCGAAGCGCGAGATACCGCAAGCCGGATCCTTCCCTCGCGTTGATCCTCGCGTCGATACTCCTGAGGCTAGGCGAGGCGAGGCGAGGCGAGGCGAGACTCGTCTCGTCCAAACGCGACTCCGCCCTTGGACTCGCGACGATGAAACGAGACAAGCAGCAGACGGGAACCTCGGGAGAGACCTTCTGCGGTTCTTTTTTCCTCCGCTCGTCTACGTCTCGAGCGAGCGAGCGATCTCGATCTCTGAGTGATCGTTCGCGAGCGATCGTTATTATTCGACAAGGCCGTTGGACAACGGCAATTCTCCGTTCGCACGTTCCGCCAGAAGCGGCTCGCAGTCAATGGCCAGGCCTCTGTATTTAGCCTTCGACTCGTACACAGCCGTTCAGCGCCGTTGCAGCGGATGTAGTACGCGACGTGTTGAATGGCAATCGACTCTGAGAGTTGAAACATTCCGTATATACAAAGCGTGATGCGTTAAGCGTCATCGATACGTTCCCGTTAGCGAACCGCGTGGAGCGCGTCTTCCCCGAGGAGCGCCTTGCGCATCTGGCTGTTCATAAATCAAAAGCGCTCGCTGGCAGCGAAGTAGACGGACGAGCTAGACGAATGAAAGAAAGATAGAAAGGGGAAACATCGCGAGTCGGCCGGAAAGTTCAGCCGCCTTCCTCGACGGCGAGCAGAATGAATGATCGTAGACAACGTTGCACAGCTTGACGAGTCCTGTCGCGTCCTGTCGGATGCACCAACTTTAGTCTTGACTCCAGAATCGCGAAGCGTCTTCGACTGGGCTCTGGACGGAGGAATTCCGGACTCAGGTCCTCAGAAAACTTCTTACCGATTCTTGTTGGTCACAATTTTAGGAATTTCTATGATTGACAACTAATGTGTGTGTGTGTGTGTATACAATATATAACTCGAACCATAAAATACATCTCTTGAGCCATTCGACTGTCCTTTTTTATTTTTTTACTGGTTTCAAAAGTTTGCTTCAGGTCATGAGAGCCCCGAGGATGTACCCCGTTCTGGAAGAGCACTTTCTTTAACCCTTTAACGCCCGACTTTTTTATAAGTGTTTTAAGAATAAAATTTGAGTCTTTTTGAACTGAGACTATATAAGTAGTGATAACCAAAAAGATATCAGAATTTTATATTTACGAAAAACTACCTTTCCAAGCGGAAACTACTCCCAGAAGCGAAAAATACGCCTGATCGGTTAAATTCTTTTTTTTTAGTTTCAATAATTTTATATCATACCTGGTTGGAGAAATTCCTCGAAACATAAAACTCACATTCAGAACTTGATCTTTATTTACCCGGAATGGAATTGCATAAAGCATCGAGAGATACAGAGGGGAATTTTACAGGTTTTGCAGATTATTTTTGTCCTGCTTTGCTTCCCTTTTGAGCTGCACTTGACAACGTTCTTTACTGTTTTCCTTAACAGGCATGTGCTTGCTGTAACACTTCCTGATGTCTTCGGTCATCTTCAGTTTCTTGTTGTCAAAGTGAACTTGCCGCCCCACGTTACCATTAAAACTGAGCTAAAAACAGACTAAACCGAATCTACATACAACCTATATACCATTTTTTCGAAGAAGAATTCACCTTTACAACAGTGCAAAGGAAACGAAAATATCTCCTTTTCTGACCAAGTTATTAGATGCGTTTCTGGTAACTATAGTTACCACAACGTCAATCGAGACGAGTTCGAAATCGACCTGCTGCTGCGAACTTGCTGCCGCATTTGACGTTAGCAAGATTGCATTTGATGTAATTCTTCCGTAATTTTTCACTTAGAAAACGGCATGGACCTTCTTGGCCAGCTAATATTCACCGTTTCGCAGCTTTCGTCAGATAACTCGGCGCGTTCGTTGCGCGTTCCTCTACGAATATTATATCATGGACTTTCAGCGGCGTTCCGCTGGATGCGCAGCGGGATATTCGAACGTTACGTTCGCCTACGCGGCGACGACGAGCTTGTTGCAACTGCACCGAACCTCTCGCGTTATGTCACCCCATTCGCGGTGTAACAGCCCGGCAAAAAAGACATTGTTCTCCGGCGTTTCGCGCGCTTGTCTACCCGAGGGGCGCGAGCACGGGTGCTCTCCTTGCGGCAGAGAAAGTCTCGTAGATTCGTATACGAACGCGCACGTACACACAGCCGCGGCGGTCGTTACAAGTGTACACAGCACACCTACAGAAAATCAGCGCGCGAGCTTCGTCTCTCCTCGTGTCGCGAAAACCGATGGACTTCGCGGACCTCCTCTCTCCTTCCGCTCTCCGCCGTCCGCCGTACGCGGCGATACGATCGTCGCTTCAGCAGCTAACGAAACAGACCGAGTCGCGTCTGTGCGACGAGATTCGCGACGGCGACGACGGAACTGCATGCGCAAGGATCCTGAAGTCAGACCGCGACATCGACGCGCTCCGCGAGCGCGCTCGACAAAGTGAACGCTGCCGTTTGCTCCAGCCTTGATCCAAAGTTCAAATTGTCACGGATAAGGTTGCGCCTGCGAGAGCTGGCCGCGCGTCCACTCTGCCTGACATTGCCTGCCCGCTCGCTTTCACGTCTCGCCGTTATCCTTGCGACGACATTATCCTTTCGCCATTAGGATTGTCAATTGGGCTAACGAGTCGGGCGTAATTGCGCGGCAAGCGCCGCGGAGAAACCGACTCGCGAAGGCCGGGCCGGAAAACTGGAGAATTCGGGATTCTCCGCGCGTGTCTAAAGTCACGCTTCGTATCGCGGTATATATCCGCCAATAAATGCGCCATTTTTATTCTTCGCTCCTCGCGACGGCCGCGGCTCCCTTCGAGCGTGTCCCCGGTCCCGTCGTCCTACGATTTCTAGCCCGGCTAGAAAGAAGACGAACCGTGTTGCGGCGTGCGGTCGTTCGTTCGATACTCCCAGCACTCGCAGCGCTCGCAGATTATCGTGGCCTGGCCTGGTCCTAATGGATCGACATTCTTCTTGCGCAACGAGAGACGCAAAGACCTTTAACGCCGCAGCTGCCTTCTGCTTCTCGACGAGACGCTCCGGGCTGGATAGTTTATACGGCTGTCGGTTTCTCCGGGCCTTGACACCTACGGCGACGATCTCGACGTGCGCCATCTTCGTCGGCTTCTTCCCCTCAACTCTGACTCAAACATGAACCGTGTTCGTGTGTAGTTTTCAATAACGTTGATTGCATCGTGACATTTTCGCCCACTGCCCGTCCTTCGGACGGCACGGCACCTGGTTTGACATTCCGATGTCAACCAGAACGAAGATGTATTTGAATGGGAATTATTCCAGGATGCGACGACGAAGCGTTATCTGACGTAATTCTGCTTCGTGATTGTGCGTATAACGATGCAACGGAATAGAGAAGTATTGTGCACTCTCGAGGGAGAGAGAGAGAGAGAGAGAGAGAGAGGGGGGGGGGGGAGTGGAAGAGAGATAAAGAGGGAATATTTTATATTAAATAATAGTCACGATCTCTCTTCTCTCCACTCTCGTTGGCGCTGATAAAAAATTCGCAGATTTTTACGTGAATGATCGCGAGGTTTTACTGCTCGGCGAAAATAGAAACCCGAAGAGATATCTCCTCGCTGAGTGTAGGAGGAAGTGAAGATGCTGCAGGCCTTATGCAATGCCCCCAATAAAGATTATCGATCCTTTCAGGCACGTCTCGCGCTCGGTGCCCATGGCGGAATCGCGCTTCGCTAGTTATCGCCGCGAGGAAAAACTTATCGAAGAGCGATTCCACGTTTTACGCTCCCGTGCTCCCTTCCTCATCTCGTCACCGTTCCACGAGGTATCGCTCCGACGCGACCGACTCTGCATTCCAAATGTTGGGACCGCCTTTTTGGTGTACTTTGCGTGATTCAGACGAAACTGCATATTGTGAAAGCACCCGCGCTGATCGGGACGCACTTCGAAATCTTCGTGAAATCCTTCCACGCGTAAGTTGGTCCTTGAAAAGTCGGAGAAGAAATTGTAAGAGGAGGGGAGGGAGGAAGGTCGCGGGTGAGATTGTTGTGTCATTGGGGTAAAACTGCTTTCGTTGCGGTGAGGAGAGGTTTCAGGTCGTGCAGTAGTTGACCCTGAAGAACAGCAATCGGTATCTCTCAATGGCACCCATTAGTTATTTTGTTAAATAAAATATATTTAGGTGCAACTTGACCAAAGATCACGGAGAACGACGCTGATTGTGTGCCTGAAACTGCGAGGAGGAATAATTTATTCTACCGAACCGGACATTTTGACGGTCCCAATATGCAACAACTTTGAATACTCGTTAGATTAGTTGGACCGTAATGACGTAACGCGACTCCACATTCGACGTAACAAGTATAGGACGGCTTTGAAATCCGGTATAATTCCGCGGTATCGTTGACACGGGCAAATTTCCAGTCGTCGCGAACAATCGAACAGAGTCCTTTGTGCCGTGCGCGTAAGTTGATCTAGATTAGACTCGACCCGCAGTCCAGGCCCACGCGAGAAGGAGAGAGTTCGCGCTACTTGCTACACTTCGCAGAAACGATGCTTCGCAAGGTTGGGTCAAACATCGAAGGAAGTTAGACACTCGCACGAGCTGAGTCGAGCCGGGCGAAGCGTTCAGCCAGCCAGCCAGCCAGCCAGGATCTCTCGGGTCCCCGTTGGTCCCCGGTGTGCAGATCGAGTGTACCGAGCCGAGTCGAGTCGAGTTCGACTACATGGTGTCCAGTTTTCATAGGCTGGTGGGGTGCTCTCCAGGTGGCCGTGGTGGGTGGCGGTATAAGTAGAGGCCTGCATTCGCCACCGTTCTCATACCCTCACCACGTCCTTCGGCTACCTCTTACTTTTACTCAGTGCCCCTTTTTCCACTTTTTTTCTCTCTCTCTCTCTCTCTCTCTCTCTCTCTCTCTCCTCTCTCTCTCTCTCTCTCTCTCTCTCTCCTCTCTCTCTCTCTCTCTCTCTCTCTCTCTCTCTTTCCGTTTCTCTGTCGTGCAGTCACACTCTCACTGGATCTGTCTTTCTCTCCGGCCGCCCCGGCGCGTTCGTTCGCCTCGCCGTCCGCTCGGCCGCTCGCTCGTTCGTTCGTCTCATCGTTGGTTTTGCACCTCATCGGCGAAGTCGCGTCACGAAAGTGGCCGCTGACCAGAGGTCACGTCGACCAGGTCGCACGTACACGCCACGTACAGCGGAGACTCGACCCTACCTGGTGAACGCTCCACGGCTAGACACCTCTGCGCGCAGCCGGAGGACGAGTGTCGGTCGCGATCGCGAGAGAAGAGAGCAGAGATGGTCGCGAGTGTCCGGTGACGATACGTATCTCTATATATATACATATAATAGCAAACGTCGGTAGTACATTCGCGCGCAGAGAGTCGACATTGTCGAGAGTGCCGGGGAGAATTTCGTTCGTCCGGAGCAGCCAGCTGTTCGCGTTCCACGGCGGAAGCAGCACGAGGAGAGGCGAACAGGACGACGGAAAGGACTATGTGCAGTGCAGACATGTGGCTGAAAAGCGTGCTACTGTGAGTACAATCGACTCCTCCTCCGCTGATGAGAGAGAAATCTCAGTGATGGGCGCGTGTGGGAATTAAATGCCCGTGAAATGAGAAATCTCGTTAATGTAGTAGTAAATATCAATTAGCACTTCCCCACGAGATTATTTCTGAGAATTCAGGAAGATAGATAGAGAGAGAGAGAGAGAGAGAGAGGGGGGAGGAAGTTGGAAGAACTTAATTGTCGAGGATCGCTGATTGACGAATGATTAGACGCTCGGATCTGACACGGCTTGTTCGCTCGTTCGAGCCGTGATTCGCATCGAAGCTCCTTTCTACATTCGCCAGAAATGGTAATCGAGTTAGTCAATAGCTCTTGCGCGTATCTTAGCTGCGATCTACGCGCTACGCATCGCGCTCCTCCGCAACACACACACAGTTCCTGTTTACATACTTCCTATATAGATACTGCTTAACGTTTAATTCTGCATTCGCTCTCTTTGTCGCGCGCTGATTCTACTCTGCGTTATAATTTCATTATGATATTCTTCTACGACGTGAGAGTAAGTTCGCTCACTCCTTCGGGCCTCCGGATGTTCCTGTCGACGAGCACGGAGTCGTTTTATCTTCGACTCTGTTATATTTTTTCTTAACTTTCCATTTCTCGTCGTCCGTTCGGTTTTTAATCTGCTTTGCTACTCTACACCCGAACTACGAGGATCGATACACAGTCGTGTCTAACAGGCGAGTGCGACGTCTGAAGTTTCTTCCCGTTTTAAGTAATCGCCAGACGCACATGTTCATGTAACACCTTCGATTGCTATCGAGATCGTAACAAAGTAGGTCGTCACAACATGCTTTTTTACGGTATACGCAAGCAGAACGCACTTTACGACTAGTTCCGCCTCGCGAGAAGCGATGACAATGAAGTAAAATTGATGCGTCGTGCAATTCCGGTCATCCTCTCGGCTTCCATCTTTTACCTTGACGATCTTTCGAAAGCACGATAATCGCCGCGCGGGATTATGATATATCGAGAGAAGAGTGGCCTCGATACTTTTATAATTGCAGTTAATTTATGCCGGCACTGCCGCGCGATTCTCGCGCGAACAGTGAAAACGATGCCCCCCCTCCCCCCTCCACCTCTCGTACGGGATCACCGTAAAAGATTATAAATGACTGTCGATGAGAAAGAAAGCATCTGTCTCATTTTCTCAAGAGACTTCGCGCGCTCCTGAAACACGTAGCGAACGGCGCGCGCAATCTGCTATACTCATTCGCATTCTTAGATGCGCGGTTTCGTTGAGGAAGATCTACGTTTACGACGTTTATTTGAGAGAAACTTGCGTAGACATTGTCCTCGATTGAAAGATGTCGAGATCGAAACTAGAAGTCGGTGCAACTGGCTCCCAACTCGGGACAATCCGATGCTTAAGATGCATGAAATGCATAACGAGTGAATATCTCCGGTAAATGTATACAACAAAATATTGCGTAAAAAATGTGAGATAACAATTGAGATAGAAATATCTACGAAATCTTCGAGACCGTTATTTCGAGCCGCTGAAACGAGGATATCGCTAGGTGAAATACAAGCGCTTGACAAACGGAGCGCTAACAACGTGCTCTCCGGATGTGCTCGTTACTTTCAAGTTCGGCGAGAGCGTCGCAAATATACGAATTTGCAGCGCTTCTCTCGGTTAAACACATCATTAGATGCACCTCGATTTCGCGGCAGCGTCTGCAATAATCCCACGAAGAAAGCCACGTATTTACGTCAAATGCACGGTAACGAAGACGTACTCCGAAGACGACATGCATTTCGCTGCACACAATTACGCGCTTCTCGAACGACTAAAATATCTCATGCTTTTACATAATGAATATCTTATTACGGGCCGTACAAATTATCAAGCGAGACGACCAGACGCGGTAGAAAGTTCAATCGGTAGTCGGCTATCGAGTCTCCCTTCGTTGTTCGCGCTTCGAAATCTTGCAACATCATAAAATCGCGATAACGCGGACGTCACACTCGGCTTCAGGAAAACCTGAGGCGCGGGGAAAGCGTCGGGTCGCTGAGTAACAAAAAGGTATACCGCTCGCATTCTTATACAATTGCAAATGCAACAAACTTCGATCGAGCGAGCGGATAAGAGCGGGCTCGACCGGTGATAAGATATCTCGAGCTTGCCGAACTGCTGACGAGCTGCTCGCTCCTCCTCGGCGAGCTTCCCGCAGACTGAAGCCCCCGCCTCTTTCGTGAGGCGGCGTGAAAAAATATTTACGGCCCGGTAATAGGCTTTTGCGGCGATGTGTTGTGACTTACGTAATGCCAGTGTCTCGTGCCACTGGAGATACCTACGTACGCGGTACGCTTATGCAGATACGCCTGTAAGCGAGACCGCTTTCTCCATATGGTTTCACGATAAATTCCAGCATTAAGCGTACGTTTGCCGTCTAAGATTGAGTTACGGGATGCGCCGTTACGCCGCGCTCTCGAAATTTAACGACCGCTCTTCGCACCTTCCTCCGGCCGGCACTCGTGAAATTCTCCGCCGGTGTTGCGTCTCGCAACGGAAAGTCCGGTGACTTGAAAATTCGGCAAGATTTGACACAACTCGCGAACACGATGACCACTGCTTCTCTCTTTCCGCTGTCTCCGCAGTCAAGCTGCTCGAGAGAAAATTAAGTGTGAGACGAGGATGTGCAAAATTATAATATAAAAAAGAAAAGAAGGAAAAGGTAAACGTGTCCTTAAGTTACGTATGCTCCTCGACATTCTCGTTGGGAAAAAAAAGTCGATTTCGCGCCGCTCAAAAGGAATCCACGGGTGAAAGGTCCGCATGTATCAATAAGTACGTTTCTCAATTTGCGTTTCTCTCGCGATCTCACGGAGGAAGAGCTGAGATTTTCAGATAGTCGTGGTGTGAGGAGTTTTTCAGCGAGCTAACAGCAACGAACATCGCGAGCGGTGAAAAGTGCCGTAAACGAGCTTAAACACCAGTCGAGTACAGACATTCACTATTCCTATATTTGACTCGGTCGCGAGCGCTGCGCACGAGGGAAGGAAAGAACGTGTCTTATGATTCGTTCTACTTTATTTGCAAATGTATTCCGGTTATAGTAAGTTATTCCTGCACCGGAAGACCGCTCGAACGGAACGGTCTGTCGGTGCGCGTTCCTCGGCGGTTTCCCGCAAATGTCGCGCGGCGCGGCGCGGCGGACCCGTTCCCCTTTCATCGTTGTGGCGAATTAATATCGGAATATCGAATTCGTCCGGCGTAGTCGAGGCGTCTTCCACGATCGAGGGATAAAGAGACCGATTACGGTGAGAAGGAAAAAGCCGGCAGTCACGCACGATGAAAAAGACGCGATATCGTCGATCGGTGCGCAAACTTTCATGCGATTTTCGAAAGAACCAGCTCTCGAGAACCGAGCGGGCGTTTTTCCAACAGGCGAAAAACAACGATGATGATAACGTAACGAAGCGAGTTACGCAAGATCGATGACGTAAAAGTCGCGCTAAAAATAGGATCGGCGAAACGAATATTCTAACAGTGACGCGTCGAAAATATACATTTGGCATTTCGTCTCCGAGAGCGATCGCTTTCCGAAATGTCAGTCCCGCGATCACGCAATGCCCTTGCCGGTTGCATCTCGGCGAGAAAAAAAGAAGCCCTGGATCCGCGTTCGTATCCATTTCAGAAGCGGCTCTCCTTCGTCCACCGGGGAAATTGGTCGTAACCGATCGTCCTTGCGGACGCAACGCCACGCACTCGAGCACTCGTCGTTGTCTCCGAGCGACTCTTTCTTCGAAACTGGTTGAAATACTTTTATATTAAACAACAGATGCGTCACAGGAGCGTTATCAGTATTACGTGTCGCGATAACCGAAGGCGGAATATTAACGCATTAAAGCGTCATCAACTTGGAAGGTACGAGTCTCTTCGCAAAAGTTACCAATTCCCGACAACCTTGAGAAAAAGGGGAACGAGGTCGCGCGCTGGTATGCGTTGATGGACGGCCTTGGCATTTTTTTCCAAATTTAATTACATTGATAAATTAATTTCTAGTGCCAAATATATATATATATATATAACCACTTCTATCCACTCTTGTAAATTATTACGCATTGAATTATCCTTCGTTTCGTCCGCAAGGGAGTAGAATGAAAATTAAACTTCGTCTACTGACAAGATGGTCACATCTCACGGATCGTGAAGAGCAACACTAATCCCTATTGAACTATTTTCGGTATCCTTATCTCGACATTTCAGGCAATTATAGTCCCTTCCAGCCACGTTCTCGTTCCTGAATAGATAAGTTTCACTCTTTCGAATCGTTTGCTTCCCGTCTGCAAAGTGGAAAGTGGTTGCAGATAATTAATTGCAAGCCATTCCACACTACCGAGTAAAATGAAAAATTTCTCGAATTCACGCATTCCCGCAACCTCTTGCGGTGATGGTTGACACGTGAATTTCACGTCGTTGCGGGCGAACTTCAATTTTCGCACGATGGGTGTGAAGAATCGAGTGCGGTCCAGTCCGGAGAACCGGGCGAGTCGGATGCAGCCTGCCCGGACTCGACGACCAGATGTGAACTTTCACCACGTCAGGACTTGCATTAGCTGTACACGCGTTCTGCCGTCGTTTACACCTCGCCTCCTTGCATCTCGCAGGCGCCTTTATCACTTTCGCTGATGCGCCGTTATGTCGCGCGATGACTCGATAATTCTTTCGCTCTCTTTTTCTCTCTTTTTTTTTCTCTCTATCACCCTTTCCTGGCCGCGTGTGTTTGCACAATACGTGCGTCAGCCGTTTATACATACTCGGGCAACATGAAAGTGCAAGCCCTTAATTATTCTAAAAAAAAATGCGCCTGGAGTTTCAATGATAATTAAACAGTTACTAGTTCATCTTTAGTGAAATTTCGCGATTACATTCGGTTTCGCGGATGAGTTTCAATTTACGCGACATAGTAATAGATCAGAATTACTTTTCTAGGAAGAAAAAAAGAATTGCCACCTCGTGCAAAGCTCTTCCTTTTTACGACGTTAGTCGTAGAGAGTATTACGCGATGTTTCGGCAGGTAACAGGTATTGTTGCGTTATATTTTACAGAATATGTGGTGTCATTGCATGCGCGTTGGCTGACAGCTCGTCGGATATCGCGCAGATATCCGGCGACAAATTGGCTCGAGCGAAAAATGTAGCAGTCACGACGTACCAACCACCTCGAGCCATCCCGATCGAAGGTATATTCGTTCGCATATTAATCTAAACAAAAATATAAATTAGTAAATTAATCGACAACTTCGGTCAAGCGTGAAGTGAATTAATTTAACGTTCAAGAACTCGCGCAGGAGCTCATGAATTTTTATAAATTTCAAGAATCTGTGACAATCAACTGAGAGTCCTTGAATTTTGACGAGTTTTCAAAGTTCTTCGACCTTCAGTCGAAGGTGGAGCTATGAGTTTCAGTAAACTTTTGGAATCCGCGACAATAAAACGAGAGACCTTGCATTTTAAGAGGTTTACAAAATTTTGGCCAAGCTCGAGCGAGGAGAGAGGAGGAGCCGTGAATCTTGATGAATTTCTAGAATTCGTCACGTCGCACAAACTGCCGGAAAACGTGGCGAGACCATCGGAGGACGATGATTACGATGACTACATCGAAGAGAAGAAAGTCGCGCTTAAGGACAACAAGCACTCCAAAAAAGTCATCCCAAAGTTCGAGAACGTCGACAAGAAGCTGGCTGTCCTCGAGCCTGTCAGGCGTTTAGACTCAGCCTCAGAGGAGGACGACGTGGAGAGTCTCACCGCTAAAAGACAAGCGCGAGTAGAGCTCGAGAATTTTAGCGACACTGGAAAGGTCTTGCAAGAGGAAAGGACAAGAAGAGTCGACTCTAGGAGACCGCGTCCGACTGAACAGGACGAGGTTATTCCGGGAGTCTACGTCAGGTAAAACACTCGTCGAGACAGGATCGTTCGCAGGAAAATTCGTAAATAGAAAGCGTACAAGTTGAGACATTTCCAGACGATTCATCGACGAACGATTAGCTGACGCAACGCTTGACTTGTATCTTTATTCCCGCCACTTCTTCGAGGATGCAGTTTATACAAACGTTCTCAATCGGTTGAATCTTAACAAAGGAAATAAAGCTATTTTTTCCACAAGACACACACGCGCGAATATAATTGTACAATTAATACAAAAAAGTTGTACAAGTTCTTCACTCGGATAACAATATCTGTGACGTTTGCGTGTCTGCAGCGCTGAATATCCAACAACGATGCTACCGATCCTGACTACTCCGCGCGAAGCACGCGGCAAGGACAGCTCTTACGATTTCGTTCCCGTGAACATCATTCGCGAAGATAACAAGGATGCCTTCGCGCGTTTCTCCGACGCGAATTTCGGCGACTTGAGCGATGTGAGCTTGGTGCCGGCCGGTACAAATTCTCGTATTCAGGTAGGTTGAACGTCGCGAATAACTATCGTTGCGCATTCAAAAGTCCAGAGCTATCTAATATATCGCTCTTAATCCTCATGCCCGACAGGTGAAGAAGGGGCCGAACGGCAAGGACTACGAATACGAGTATGTTTATTATTACTACGACGAGGAGGATGAGAGTAAAGCGGGTACAGCGGGCTCGGCTGTGACGAATTCTTACGACATTCCTTCCAGAACGACCTCCGCGCCCAGGCGAGGCGGCACCGCCGGCAACAGAAGCAAGTACAACAGCGTGGAGAGGTCGAGCACCGTGGAGCCCAGCAACAACGAGGTCATACCGAACCGAAACGGTAACAGAGGTAGGCAACTCGCCGAGACCGAGGATGTCTCCGAGGAGAGACTGCCAGCGAACACTCGCTTCCCACCGAGGTAAATCTTGATCGTAGCGTGAAGCCGTACGATGTATCCGCTCTACGCGAGAGATTCACTTAACAATGCGGCTATCCTCTGAACAGATCGCGGTCGAATCACAACACAGGCACCACGGAACCCTCGCGAGCGCGAGGCAATCGGCCACGGCCGAGCCTGGACCTGGTCGACTCCAGCAGCTTCCGAACTCATCAGGAAGGTCCCGAGTTCCCGCCAACCTTGCCGAAAGGCCCGGTCAGATTTCTCGGTGTTACCCCTAACGAGGATAACGAGGAGAAACCGCTGATCAGAAGCCGTGGTAGACCGCAGCGGGTTCAAGAGCCGGCACCCGTCGAGGAAGCGCTGGACGACACACCGGCGCCTGCTAATAGAAGACGTCCGACCTCCACCGCAGCGCCCGAGGTAACCCTGCTCGTTAAAGAACAAACTGCACTGAAGGAGGGAGTAGTCGTAAACCGTGGGGGGGGGGGGTCATTAACGTTCAAGATATGTCTGTAACTCGACATACATACATAACGAAAATGTTAATTCGGTTAAAAGGTATCTTTCTGTTGATATTCAATTAATTTTGCGTTTCCTTTTACGACCAATTACGACGACCCTAAACGACCTAGAAAAATCGTACGTTGTATATAAAATGCGTGAAAACGAATATTCAGGCTGGAGTAGAGCTGAGCAGAGGTCAGCCGGTTCGCTCCAACGAAGAAGAGCAAGAGGAAGAAGAAATGGAGGAAGACGAAGAGAAGGAGATCGCCGCGCCGGAGAAGCCCGGCGTGAAGCGCGTGTCCTTCGAAGACAAGACGCAGGATTCCGGCGAGACTGAGGCCACGCCAATCTCCTCCAGCACCGCCGTCGACACCACGGACAATCCGACGACGGAATATCCGTCGGCCATGGACAAGGTCGCCCTAGACCTGTACGCTTTCCTGCAGCAGGGACAGAGCAACCTGATAGACGCGGCCAGCAGCGAAGCAGGAGAGACAGGAGACAGCACGACGCTTCTCGACGACGAGCTTACGACCGACGACGCCGCGACGACGACGACGACGACGACGACGGATTTCGCCGCGACTACGATCGCTACAGAATCCGCGAGCACCACGACCACCACGACCACCACCACTACCACCACGACTGAGCCGACAACCACAACTACCACGACCACGGAAGCACCGACCACCACGACTCAAGCTCCCGCCGGAAGAGGGAAATTCCGACGACCCGGCATAGGCGGCCCGGCTGTCTCGAGGAATCGGTAAGTTCCGCTGAACCTAATCTTCCGTATAACCGGACGGCAGCTAAGAAGAATCGTCGCTTTCTTGCTCTTAGCTTCAAGTCCAACGGTGCCAGCACGACTAGCACCGAGGCGCCTGCTTCGGAACCAACTCAGAGAAGTCGAACGCGTTTCCCTGGTAACGGTTCGAACGGCGGCGGTGGCTTCAAGCGACCTCGACCAGCCGGCAACCACAAGCCCGTTGAGGAGGATACCGTGCAGAAGGAGACGTCCAACACAGCGAACGCGGAGAAGCCGTCCGCCGTTCGCAACAGATTCCGCGCACCCGCTGGAGGCCGAAGCGCCGCTTCCAGCACGGCGTCGCCGCCGTCGCCGCCGAGCGGCGCTTCGGCGACGTCGAACGGCGCCGGTGGAGCGGCCCGACCGACCTTCAACAAGCTGAACATCAACCGCAGACGCGGACGACCCACCACAGCCGCGCCGGCGGGCGAAGAGACCCAGGAAGCTACACACTCCGAAAGCGGCCAGACTGTCGCCCAGGTCGCGCCGGAAACCGCCACCACTTCCGCTCCAAAGACCGCCGTACGGGCGAGACTTCCCGGCGCCGGTCCTGCCATCAGACCCGCGATCAGACCGGGCGGCAGGGTGAACCTGAGGCAGAAACCGGGACAGACCACGACCACGACGACGCTCGCGCCGGAAGCTGCCGACGCATCCGTCGAGGAGCCGGCCGGAGAGGGAACCGAGGAGGAGACTCACGAGGTTCGTGCGAAGCGCTCGCTTGACCGTGTTGAGTTTCATCACAGTTTGTTCAACAAGAAAGTGTTGGTGATAATCTGAAAAGAATAAAAGATAAAGTCAAGTTGTTTTCTTCAAAGGAAAATAGAAGATTTTTCGTAACGCGCAATTATCTAATATTTGATCCAGTTGCTTCTATTATCAATTATTGCTTGGCACCATTTTCGCATATTTGCGACCAGATTTTCCGCGTATTCTGGTAAAGAACGCCATATTGCTTTTATTTTTATGCACAATTGCTGAAATGTAAAGGCACGCTTTCCTTTAAGTTTCATCTTAAGGTATGACCACATATTTTCGATCGGGATTTGCGTCTGGAGAGAATGCCGGCCAATCCATCATAGTTATGCCATTTTCGAGCTTTTCTGACAGCGGCGGTTTTGTCACGGTGAATCGAAACGTGGTGATACCACGTTATTTTCATGCAGGCGGCTTTTGATGATATTAAGCGAGATATGTTGACCTTTTCGGCGGAAGTTTTACTCGGGCCTAACGCAGGGTAAGACCGGGATTCGTCTGAAAGAGACACAAGATCGCTTTGTCCTGCTTCGGAGTCGTTGCATGAGACAGCCCTCTTTCTGGCAGATCGTCAACATTTCCAGCGGTTTTAAATCTACTCACTTTCTTACGAAAGCCTCTGACTTTTTAATTGCTCCAGCAGTTGCTGCGATTGTTAATTTTGATCCTTTGGAATGGTTAATAAGAAACACCGCCTCCTAGCGCTTCAAATATTTTACACTCATTTTTAAAAACAATGTTTACTTTTAACGACTACTCAACGCAACTTTCTGATGTACACTGCGCAAAAGAAGTTAGTTTCAAGATTCAAACGGTATAAGGTAGATAAGGTGCTACTATGATTTTCCACAAAAATATCACTCACACTTTCTTGTCGAACAGGACTGTTCCTCATTTCTCAGTCTTCGTCTTCTTTCGAAGGTGGGGTTGCGAAGGGACATCTTTCAATGGTTTGTAAATTTCTCGGAGTGTGAGCGAAGCAATGTGTATAATTGAATTGTAATGCGGACTGTGACGTTAATTATTGTCGTAGCTATTCTATTATTATATAAATATAGAGATGTCTATCGATTGTATCGCAATGCTTCTCGCCGGGAGATAACCGATGCACATCGTAACACGTTACCCTACACGATATTTATCCCCCCGGAACATAATAGAACTTTCTATTATGCTAACGCCACGAACATTGAAAATGCCGGCGATCCAATTCGGCCGACCGCCGAACAATTTTAACTTTCCCCTGCAAATGGCGCGCCGCGGAATTCAATTGTTCCAGGTTGAATCGGTTATTATCATTCGTCGCGTGTGTGCATTCCGGCCGAGCCGCTTTTCGAGAAGTTTAACAACGACATGGTAAAAGCGCGTGTTTCAGCGTGATCAGTGACGGTCTTCTTTGTCTTCTGCATTTTTTTCTTCGTTCTCTTCACTTGTTCCGTATTCGTATTAAAGATCATCATTCCCGCCGAATGTACCTTTCATTGAGACAAATCCTGCGAAATCGCACGTCTATTTCATGTGACCGATCCTGAACTTCGAATACGTGTGCGCGCACGTATCTTCGGCTGTAGACTTCGCGAGATTAGGTACGAGGACGCAGTGATGTCACTCGACGAACTTCTCTCCCGGGGTTTACTTTCACTGGATGGCCTTTCAAAATGTCATCGATGAGCCGGCGAGAGACGGTGCGCGACCGCTTTTCATCTTTCGACTTTATGACCTGCCGGTCGTCGTGAGTTACGGCTGCTGAACGCGAAAGAGCGAGATAACACAAAAAGAAGGAGGAACAGAGAGAGAGAGAGAGAGAGAGAGAGAGAGAGAGAGAGAGAGAGAGAGAGGGAGAGAGAGAGAGAGAGAAAGAACGATACTTTGTCCAATAGATAATTTCGTAACATTCTGAACGAGCAAATATTATCCAAATTTATTGTTACCCTAAAAATAAGAATTAAATGTCCTACCCATTAAACGCTTCCATCATCTTAGAAGTCCCAGTTTTCCAAAATCTAACGTGCTGCCTCTCCGCGCAAGATCTGAGATACAACGACATGCGACTTAAAGCGAACTTCAGGATGAACTACGAGGATAGTCCCAGAAGTAACCGACCTGACGTACAGATGGCGGTTGTTGTTTGAAAAGAATGACAATGGTAGAAAGTACCAACTTTATAAAGCTTAAGTTTGAAGTTTGACGACGCTACGTTGTTTAGTATTTGTTTGGCAGCCATCGATGGTGAACGATCTCAGTGAATCTGTAAACATGGAAAGCATTAGTCATCGTTATGTGATACAATACTTTCATTTGAAAGGCCTCAGTCCAATCGATATCAAAGCGGAGCTAGATTCTACTCTGGGGGTGTCTGCTCCTTCATTTACAACAGTAGAATATTGGGTGGCAGAGTTAATTAAACGAGTACATGAGAAGATAGATACTTCCGTCTAGATATCTTACACGTTCTTTGCTACCAACGCTAACAATGTCTAACAATCGTCTCATTTTACAGGCACCAGCGGAAACCAGCCCGCCGCCAGCGCGAGCTACCACGCCGAATCCCTTAAATAAGCTTCGCAACCGCAACCGACTGCAAGTGCATGCAAAGGCAACGACGAAGGCGCCGGCGGTGCCACCTTCAATCAGAAGATCACCGTTGCTGCCGCGACGCAAGGTGACCGAGGCGCCCGCAGCTCAGTCGAGCCAAGAGGATGTTGCTTCCGAAGAAGAGGTCACTTCCAGCGAGGCGGAGCCGACCGAAGCGATCTCCGCCGAGACTAGCACAGCGGCCAGCACGAAGCACGAGGAGACACGAGGTCTGAGCGGCCTCCTGGCTCCTCGACGCAGGATACCGGTCCGACGTCCGGGTCAAATAGTCGCTCGGGAATAAAGAATCGTCGCGCGATAACGAGTCCTGGACGAGTTTGGGGTCTTGAACGAGTCCAGAGGATCCGGGAGATTCATTTCAGCGACAATGAGATGTACGAGAATGGAGGAGGGTAAACTAGGTGTCCTGTTGCTCCTTAGAGACCTACTAGACGCCGAATATTATTCGTAGAGAGGAACATGTCACTTCCTCGTTCTCTCTCTCTTATTGTATTCTCTTCTTTTTTAGTGTCTTTCCTCTACGACCAGACAGCATCTTATGCGTTATGACGAAAAGAAAAGGGTGTACATAGTGCCGTTTGCAAGGGTAGCTCTTTTTGAAGGATCACGTTTGTAATAGTACTCACTTTGATCGCACTTGAAACGGCGTGATTGAGACATGATGACATTACGACGGGGCAGCATTTACACCGATATATTACGTGGCAATAGCAAACTGAGACGAAAGAATATTTTCGAAAGATATTTCGCAGGATATTTCGCGTCGCGGAGTATTCTCGAAATACTCTTCAAATATTCTCAGATTATTAGCGAAATCTCATTTAGCTATCAACGACATTGGATTTGTAATTATCATCGAGCTTTGTGCACAAACAAAAATAACAAATGAATACGATATTCGACTCGGTTTTCCGATATCTCAATGTTCCGCACATAATTTCCAGAAGAAGTAGATTTCCCTGTAATTTCATAGTTGCACGTGTTACTGGAGATACGCATAAACTTTGGTTTAATTATAGATGAAGGTTGATGACTACTAATGTTAATGTATAGTAGAGACGCGTATAACGTATACGTACATTCATATATGAATTTATAAGCATTCTATTTCTATTTCCTAACACGGCGAATTGCTTCGTCAATCGAGAACGAACCGTCGATCGAGAAAGAAAGTTGGAAAGAGTACTGATACCAATTATTCTTTTCTCTGCTATGACAGAATAATGGTCGTTTACTTCTTTTCTTCATCGTTTACTTAGATTAGAACTAAATTACAATTAGAATTTAATGTTTACTTAAATTAGAATATCAATCGTGAAGAGTGGTAGTTTGAATCAACTACTTGTGGATTACGCGTAAATACTCGACGTTGGCACGATTGTATTATTTCGCCAACTCGGCCAATGCGATACGATCCAACGTTACAACACCAAGCTACATATAAATGTCTCAACATTACAACTAGAATTACTTGCACAATTTTCAATGAATTTTACACACTGCGTCCGTGCTCATACATGCGTAAGGTTGAAAATTGTAGTAAAGTCAAGTAACTAAACATTAAGGCTTACGTGACGTATGATGTACCGCTTTCGAGGGTGACAAACGCAATGACGATTCGATAATACAGATGCACGTGTCGAGGTGTCTTGGTATATATTGCGACAATTGTAACTATATCATATATTTAATTTGGTGAGTTTTATTTAAGAATTGGCGAGTTTGCGATGTTATACCGAAATATGATCTTTAACGTGATCTACACATATATGCATGTACTCCCATACATAATGCTATCTGTATTTTCCTCTGTCGACACCATATTCTTAGGACTACTATTACGTGCGCAATGCGTATGGATACTTTTGTAATTACAATGTTGCAACATACACTGTAAATATTGCAATTAAACGTACGTAAAACTAAATCGCATTGCGTTTCTTCGGAAAATCTTTGAATAGACATTCAAGTTCAACTAATTCGTTTTGACTTCTTTTAAAATCATACGTTCAAGATAGAAAGAACAATAATTAAGAAAGAATGATAACGTTAATGGTAAAAAATTCAATGAATGAACTCGTACTTTCTCATGAGCACTCACGAACGCTCGTGAGCTTCGTGGGCGCTCATAAACTTCTTGTAGATTTATTATAATATATCATCGGTAATTTTTATCAATATGAGATTATAAGATTGTTGTATCGACATTTTTAATTCCTTTTATTTTTAATTTTTAATTCCTTCTAAATGGCGATGTAGACTCATTGAAGTTTGCCAATCGCTCTCCTTAAATCTTTGTTATAAAGACCGTAAACATGTCATGACACTTATTAGTGTAAAAAAGAAACGCATTATATTCGAATATAAACATATCTATTGTGCCAAATTTAATTCACGAAATATAAATTTTTGTATTAAATGTCAGATAAAGTTTGTAAAAAGATAAATTTTTAACAGCTGCTCTCTACATTATCAACCACTGTCGGTAATACGGAGAGACACCAGTTCTCCTCTGTGAAAATACAGGTAAAATGTAATTTTACGCAAATATATAGTGTACTTTATCACAAGTCAGTATCATATCAAGATCAAGTATCAAGTATCAAGATAATTATACATCGCAAAAGTAATACTTCATTATGCACGAAATGTTCAGAGATTTATATTGAATGACTAAAATTGATTGATAATAAGAAAAATAAAAATCCTCTTACCTTGAACGTATCTACATATTCCGATGTCGATGTCGCTGAGCTCGATACAGATGAAGAAAACTTAGAAGTAGCACATCTGTTCATTGCAGTCGTCTTTTCCGTCTCTCCGAAACTCAATATACGTCAATTCCTTTCAGATGCAAAAAATGCAACTGAACAAACAGACTTATAAACTGAATGCTCTTATTCTTCCCACCAACCAAATAATCGGGGTAAGAAAAACATTTAATTCTTGGTGTATCGACCAATCACAAACGACAATTGCAGAGGACTCAAGATTAGTACTTTGCTGGTATTCTCGACTGTGATTGGTGAATTCTTCTACTGCTTAAGTCTCATTGCTTATAATTTTTCTGTGTGTGACATGGACCTTACCCTCTCTCGCTAACTTCCACTGCTCCCCTCTTACGGCAGCGCGCAGAAGAAACTCGTTGGCAAAGATGGCGAAACGTGGGGAGCCAGACGTGTACTTTTAATGTCTCGATGTCTAAATTTTCAGTGAGCAACAGCTCGTACATCGATGAACATGTTAGTGGGTAATTGTTCCTCCTGATTGACAAGTAGAAATAATAAGCGCTCGTCGATTTATCGTCGACAAATCGCACGGAGGGATCTGGTGGTGGAGAAGGTGAGAAAGCAAGGCGGGATGCACTTTGTTTATGGAGATCAGCTGTGCTCCAAAACACTCGGGTTACCCTTCCTGCACCGCGCGCTGTCGCGATCAGCGGCCGACGCTATTTTCGTCAGATAAAGGTCAGCTGAATACGGGGACAAAGCGACGAACGTCGCGACTTACGACAGTGCGTCGCGTCACGCTGTCGTTCATTCAGGGAACCCGATGGTACGTCGTACCTCTCGAAAAAAGAAGCAGAACGAAAATCCATATTATGTTCTAACCAACAATTTCGACGAGCTTTTAACGTAGATCATCTGGTTTTCCCGCGCTCTGTTCAGAATTCAATAAACACGTGGTCCTCGCCCGAGGAGCATTTTTCCTCTCGTATTGCATTTTGCGTTTGTCAATGGTGTCATTCGTGTGTACGAAGATTGATAAATTTTTGGTACGCCATGGGCTTAAACTATATGTCACAAGTGCTCTAAATTTTTACATTTCTGATAAATCGTAGAAGCATGCAAGTTTGCTGCTGAGTCTTCAAAAAAGAAATACAAGGAGGTATAAAAAAAGTACGTCACATACTAATATGCATCTGAAGAAAAAATGAGCTCACGGATAAATATGCAATTCAATGAGCAATCGATTGAGCAGTCTGCAAAGTTAATGATAAAAAGCTCTATGATAAAGTTCAGTGGAATAAAGAAGGATTTCTTCAAAGAATTAGTGTGTATTCTGGATATGTTTCAAACAAATGGCAAGAATTGTGGTGTGCTCTTATTTTACCGTATCTTGGCAGTGGCAACTCTTATTGTTTCAAAAGATATGAATCATTCTTCATATAGCAACTACTGCTTCTCCTTGTTCTCTGTTATCTGTGTGTTACAATAGAAGTTGCTCCATGTGGACTACCTAGGAAAGTGTTCCAAAATATTAGTGATTCTTTGTGAAAATATGAGACTTTTTTTTAATAAGAAATTTTAATATAATCACTTATTAAGAAGTTTAATATACAGTCAGAAACTACAACATATTTTGATTCAAACAACTGTATTTTAGATGCTTACAGAGCAACCATCAACCGGTAGCTGAAAAAAATTAATGACATGAAAGGATGAAACGAGATACTGTTATTACCTGTGTGGAGCCAAATCGACGAGCGCAAACAGTAAGTTTTGATCTGCTAAAACATGTCGCTTGGTATCATGTATGTTTCTAACTTTTTGTATATCTTTGTCAGTATATTATAATATCATCTGTCATCTCAAGATATAAACATTTTTGTTACATATCTTTTCAAAATGTGTAAATATCAATTGTAAGAAAAATTGTAATGCAGGAAACTATATTTTCTTTTATATGTATTCCAAATAATAAATAAAAGGACAAAGTTTATTTAATTATTTTATACACTTCTTTCCTTGATTTTACTTATAATGAATTATTTACATATATTATGTTGAATTCTTTTATTAAAGCACGTATGTTAAAGCACTTATTTATTCATATATATTTATATTTTATTTAATGCATCTGTTAATTGTCTGATATGCGTATAACACTTTTTTGTAAACAAATTTTAAATTGTAAATTTGTAAACAAATTGTAATTAACTCATCAGTTACACAGAATCAAATAGGATTCAATGTAATTCATACTCATAGATGACGACGGTACTGGACTGTAGTTACCAACGTATGGATCCTTATGGGACACACGAAGGAGATGCGGATGATGAGGATGAACGTGAAGAAACACCTCAGGACATGATAATCCACATGGTAGAGGGAAACAAAGCACGATGGAATCACATCGAGGATCTGGATTCTTTCTTCACGCGGATGTACCACTACCATCAGAAGCATGGCTTCGCCTGCATGATGCTCCAGGAAATTTCCGAATTAACACGATTCATTTTTGTGGTTGCATTCTCGACTTTTCTTGTTCACTGCGTAGATTACTCTGTATTATTCAAGTACGTCGTGTTATTGCTCATCGTCCACCTTGCGTCATGATAGGGTATTTGGGAAACAATGTTTAATAGGTTTCATGTATATTTTTAGGGATAGAATTACCAATAGTACTTCGTCCAAGACTACGATAACAGACGCCATACTGTCCTCAAGCGAATGCGCAGCGTCAATGCATCTAGGTACCTGGATCTGTATTCTGGTTGCGGCCATGTTCTGGATCCTGCGTTTCTTCATATTTCTGTACCACTTGACGCAGTTTTGGGACATGAAACAGTTTTTTAATACAGAGCTGAAAATCGACGACAGAGATTTGGACAATCTGACTTGGCACGAAGTACAGAAGCGAGTAATAGAGGTACAAAAGGTTCAAGAAATGTGCATTCACAAGAAGGACCTTACAGAGTTAGATATATACCACAGGATATTAAGATTTAAGAATTATATGGTAGCTATGATCAACAAATCCATCTTGCCTGTACGGCTGAAAGTCCCCATTACAGGAGATATTATTTTCATGACGCGAGGATTAAAGTACAATATGGAGTTGTTGCTATTTTGTAAGTATCCGTGTGCTTGCCTTATTAGCAATGTTAAGCGAACCTGATCCAGTCATCAACTACATGCACATTGATCATTCACACGTAGGGGGACCATGGTCACCGTTCGAAAACAATTGGCACTTAAAAGAAGACTATAAAAAGCTAAATAAAAGGCAAGAACTCGCGCGACTATTGTCCAAGCACATCCTGTGGGTCGGTGTAGCGAATTTCCTCTTGTGTCCCCTCATTCTCCTTTGGCAGATTCTTTATTCGTTCTTTAATTATGGTGAGGTGAGTACTTATGAGTAACGACTTATGAGGTACGACTTATCTTACGACAATAAGACGCTTTGTATAGAACATACTGAAAGAGAAATGAAAATTTTTCGACAGCTCATCAAAAGAGAACCCGGTACTTTGGGTACTAGGACGTGGTCCTTATACGGCCGTCTGTATCTACGCCACTTCAACGAACTCGACCACGAATTGAACGCACGTCTCAATCGCGCGTACCGTCCCGCTTCTAAGTACATGAGCAGCTTCACGTCTCCGACTATGACGGTGTTCGCGAAGAATGTTGTGTTTATCGCCGGTAGCGTGCTGATGGTACTGGTATCTTTGACGTTATACAACGATGCTGTTCTGACTGTGGAACATATAATATCGGTCATGACCATACTCGGTGGATTGGTGGCATGCGCAAGGACGTTTATACCGGACGAAAACCTAGTCTGGTGTCCGGAAACCCTTCTGACCGCTGTTCTAGCGCACACGCATTACAGACCGGACAGTTGGAGGGGTTACGCTCATACGCAGAGCACCAGATCTCAAATGGCGCAGTTGTTCCAGTACCGCGCGGTGCACCTTTTAGAAGAGTTGCTGTCTCCTTTGTTGACGCCATATATTCTGTGCTTCCATATGAGACATCGAGCTTTGGAAATCGTAGACTTCTACCGTAACTTCACTATCGAAGTCGCTGGGGTCGGTGATGTCTGCAGCTTCGCTCAGATGGACGTGCGCAGACACGGTAATCCCATGTGGCAGACCGTGGCGCACAGTCCCACGGTATCTCCGCTGCCTACAGAGGACCACAGCATGGGATATGACAATCGGTACGGCGTCGATCCCGAGAAGCTTCACGTACCGATGTCTAATCATTACACCCAAGCGGAGGACGGCAAGACCGAATTGTCCCTTATACACTTCACCCTCACAAATCCGGAGTGGAAGCCGCCGAGTTACGCAGAGAACTTCGTGACCGCTTTGAAGGAGAGAGCCAAGAAGGAAGTAAACGCGGTTCCCGACAACAATCCTCTGATAACTAGTTTGAACAGCTTGTCTGGTCTTGGGCCTGGTGTAAGTATTTCTTCGGTTTCTTTTTCGGAGCCTAGTCGATTAATAATCCAGATCCCAGAAGAGAACGGCTGCGATCATGTGCCGGATGCGAGTTTTGTTACGTATATGTTTACGTCTGGTCGATCCTTTCCCCCGGAATCGTAGTGGTTTTATCGACGAGTTCACCTTGATGTCCTCCATCGAGGACAGTTTAATTCGAATCCTCGCTGATACGCTGACTTTCCCTTGCAGTATAACAACATTGTGACGAGTATCATGCGCAGTACGGCGATAAATCAAGCGAGCGTGCCCAGCATAAGTAACATCTTCACCAATCAGCCGGGCACGTCCGGAGCGTCGGTGGGCGTTGATCAGTCGCTCAGTACCAGATCCGATGCTTTGTCGTGTGCGGTTCATCATGGCTTGAGGAGGGCGGAAGGACCGTTGCTCAACGAGAGAGGGTTCCTATATAGCTTGCAACAGGTATTCTCGAATCAATCTCTGGGTACGTCGGTGTTCGAGCCCGGTCACGAAGCGTCCACGGATCTGTCTGTACCTACGGAATTAACTGCTGCCGACATGTCATTGTCTACATTGTACCTGCACGAGCTTCATCACAGACAAGTAAGTACCAGACAAGTAAGCCCACTGTCGCGCGATCCTCGCGCAATCCTCGTGCGATCGACGACGGTCAACGATTGTCACCGGCTGCGAGAACAATGCTCGGATATGTGAAGGTAGAACCGTTCGGCTTCTAGGTAAGAAGACGCGGTTACCAAGAAATGGCAACGAGAAATATATATCCGCGCAGTCCGGCACAGGAATTAGCGACGCTTCCCGAGGTTCGACAAGAGAGGATACCGCTGTTGTCGCACCAAGATTCTTCTCTTAGAAGAAACCAACAGTCCTAACGTCGTCACAGCTAAAAATTCATTTAGATAGAGTCCAAATGATTCGCGCAATGATTATCATTTCGGAATAAAGCATTTCCATCTTTGTCACGTCGAATTCATGACTTATTTTAATAACATAATTAAGTTAGTCGCAAATGCCCGAGAGAGTGAAATCGTCCCAGTGTTCTCGGCATTCTAGATGTGTTATTACGTCTTCGAAATATTTAATATTACACACATACGCGCACGCACGCACGCACACACGCAGAGAGAACGCAACTTTTGTTCTATTTTTCTCTCGTTTTCTCTGCGTGTGATCAACGATCTAATAACGCCTATCTCTAACATCAAGGGCCTACCTGAAAGCTTACATTTTATACGTAAACTATCCATACTTAAAGTTTCTGCATTTTATGTTTCGATATAATTGCGCAGGCCCTACATACGTGCGACAATTAAACGACCTGTCTCGAGAAGGCATGTTGTACAACAAAATACCGCATATGTCAAAAAGGAGGAATTAACGTCGTCGGAGGAATAACGACGTATTCGATGTAGTGTATTCCAAATAATGTACGCGAGTTGAATGTGTGGAAAACTAGTATAATTTTTTGATAAAGTTCAGAGAGGAAACACACGCATATATAGATGGATATTTTTACGTTCAATAGAGAAACATCGAGCATAAAAAGAGTATTTGTACATTCCATCTTTTTGAGAATGACGATTTATACAAAGAAGAAACATGTTACTAAAATGTGTTTTTTATATAATATATATTATATAATATAATATATATTAATTCAAATAATTTAATATATTACGGAAATATATATATATGATATATATTAATATTCGCGGACAAGATGATATGTGCAAATACTTTTCCTCTTATCGATCGTACATCTTATCGATTGTATCTTAATCACCTTCCAATGCCACGATTCTCTAGTCATACGAAATTACTATCGCGCCGTAGTGTACTTGTCTCTTTAGATGAAGTGGTTCTATTTATTTTTAACGTTTTACTTTTACTTTTAGCTACTTTATATACGACGGCGACTGAACTTTTATGGCTAGGGTAATCCGTAGAACACTTGTACATAAGATCGCGATATTTTCACTAATGCCGCGATGAGGGACAAAGAGCAGTGTTTTGTCCTTTGGCGTACCGCAGGTTGTCAAGTACGAAGTAGACCTAAGACAAATTTAGATTTTACTCTCTACTCATTCTTTGTTTATGTACGAATTTTTAGTAACTTAATACAAAGTCGATGATTTTATGATGAATTAACGTGTTACGCAAATAATATTAAACGAGGAACGATGCGTTTTGCTAAATCTTATATCGATGTGATTCTCACGAAACGAGAAATTAGTGCTGTAAGGGGCATCTGTAATTATCATTATGATGCAAATAAATACATTTCATAATAAGCCGATCGGCGTTGGAAACGAACTCACTGTTGACGTTTACAGCAAGCTTTTGTTTTGGTACAATCGATGAGCGCCTGAACGCGAAAAAACAATACACTGTCGGCAAATGTACGAAAACATGAACGCTTATCGAGAAATAGAGATTGTGTCGTCAACGGCCAAGTTGGTGGACGCTTCCAAATACAACTTGCGATGTAATCGCAACATCAGCGAAAAGATGACGAAGAAGGATTTCATCTACGATATTCGTACACCTATGCAAGTCATGAGGAAGGTAACTCCGCGGATTTGAGATTAACTCTCTGCTGATAGTTTCTGTCTTTGATAAAAAGCAGAAAATTTCAAATTGTTCAAATGTTAATATTCTCGTGTGGAATAATGTCAAAAACTTCCAAGTGTCTTCGTATCATTTTTGTCGGACGATCCTTAGAAGGCGCACATTTTGATGCAAAATGAAACAAAAGTAATTTGCAGCTCGAGATGCAAAAACAGCCGATCATATTGCCGATACAATTGCGACGGAAACAAAGTATCGACTCGAGAATTCCGCAGTACACCGTTCTTTCCGAAAAGGTGGAACATGATGGCAGCGGCGACGCGGCTGTCGTAAGTATAGAAATTATTTACAAATAAAATTCCGGGGAACCGCTTGAATTATATTGTATAATTACAAAGATAAATATACAAATGTCACAGACAGAAATCTATTGTTATCTTCAGATTGTCGAGCGGCGCATTTTAGGATACAAATGCAATTTTTGTCACGAGCCAATTGCCACTCTACTGTCTCTGTCAACTCATGTTAAATTTCACTGTCAGACGCATTGTAAAATATGTTACTGGATTCTGCGTGAAAACGAGACGATGGAACAGCACGTCGCCGATTGCCATTGCATTGAACCAGAAATTGAAATATTGTAATTTCTAATAGGATTTAATTATGTGCTATTTCTATATTTTAAAAAATAATGAAACTTATTACTTCTCATCCAAATGAAATTTGTAGTTTGTGAATTAGTTATAAAAGTATTCAATGTCAAAAATCAGCTTATTTAAATAATAAATTATTAACAACTTCATTTTTCTTGCTCTGTTGCTATGACTCGGTCATATTACTGCAAAATGAATGTCTAATGCACCTTTGTGTTGTGTCATTTGAAAATAAAAAAATTGTATTATTTAAAAACAAAAAGATTAATTCGCTATTGAGCGGTATTTAAAAATAAAAGATTTTCCGACATGCACTTGACTCATACTACTTGAAAAGGAAAAATCTGACTTGACGTTGAGTTTTATCACGATGTCGATTTTGTCGACAAGTGGCGGCTCCTAGCGGAGACTTTAGAATTAATTTCGCCAAGAGTCAAACGTCGTTTTTACCCGATTACGCGCACGTAATTTAAGAGAAATTCTGGCCAGTTTGCTGTGAAGATTTTTTTGCGATGTCGCCTGACAGCAGTGCGTCAGTCGTTCTTTAGCAGTTTAATCGTATGTTCTTTCAACCCAATACATTTTTAATGATATTATTAGTTTCGTAAGTATACATACAACCTTTCGTAAATCCACAGGATCAGCTATTACTCTGAAGAGTAGTTTGAAAGTCTCCGCTAGGGGTCGCCACCATTCCTTTTGGCGACGCGAAGTGGTAGTATAAATCAACAGCGGCTCAGATCTTCCATTTTGAAATATGATCTTACAACGGTCAAGTGATCTTCGTAATTTCAAGTAACGCGGCAGAACGGCAGATCAGGATGTTTATTTCCGAGTATCGCGGATCAACGAAGGGTCAAAGGAGATTCTATTCTTCAGCAGCGCGTCTGCAACAAGATGGTGAGTCAAATAAACATGTGTTTCTATTTATTTATTAGTGAGAATAAGAGCCCGCTTGTCGACGACGATGAAACATGTCGAAGGCTAAAGATCCGAATAAGGCGGGCATCGAGATCATTTAAATAATATATTCAAAGTATTCTGCGCACACCAGGTGCCACACATATCATTTTGTGCCACATATGTCATTTTGTTATTATGAATATTACAATGTAGTCGTTATAATCGATCGCGTGTATAAGTAAGGTTGGAAATCGTACAAGTAACCTTACTTACAATGGCGGCACAAGATTACTCATAAAGATATTAATTAAGACACACGTATAACACGTAATGAAGTACGTAATAATGAAATTTTCCAACATCTAATTAGACATCGATTATTGGAATTAATCGGATTTCGAAACTTTGACAAGATAACTGACCTGTGTAAGTAAAAAAGAAAAAGCCTTGAAAAAAAATGTCTAAATCGGTCCTAGCGACATTTTGTACAGATATCACGTTAGGGAGCTATTAGGCGTCAGTTTATTCGCTGCGTGCAACTCCTTCGTTTTACCTCACCTTTGCGGTTGAGATTTACTTATCTTATAATGGTCGCGCAAGAGACCATTATATCGCGCAGGTGGAATCTTTCATCGAGGCGGAAACAATAAAAGGAACCGACTGAGGCACGTTTTCGGCCAACGTTGCTCTCCCGCGAGACGAATATATCACCCGGGCCTCTAGCGGCTATAAACGCTGCTGTTCTGAAGTCGTATAAAAGGGTCGCGATTGTCATGGCCTCGGGTGAATAAACATAAGGGAATTTTTCGCGCGCGCGGAAGGAGAGGAGAAGTTTCGGAGGGAATAATTTTTATTCACAGATTCTTTTTATATCCAGGACATAAATCGGACTACACACACACACACACACACACACACATACACTTACACCTGTATTAGAAGTTTCACGGACTTCTCTGCTACTCGTTCAAATTTCACATGTTTTGAAAGTAATTCCAAGTAATTCTACTTGAAAAGTCGATCAATCTCCGCGATATTATTAATACGATATTATTAATACCGCTCGGACGTTTCTTGCCTCGTCCGAACAATACGCGTCTCAGAGTACACGTTCTCAAGTATATATAGAAAATGTAGAAACTCTCCGTTTGAAACGGAGAGAGAAACATTTGAGACTTAAACCGATAGCCGATAGTGTCTACCCGAAGGAAAAGGGCAACGCGTCGCTTATAGTGTTTGATGATCGGGGGATCACATTTATATTTATTAGCCTCGTGCGCGCAATGCCTAAAATCAGGCGATCACATTTAGATTTGTGACGTTCAGGCAGAAAGAGAGACAGACCGTCTCTTTCTTCAGCCGTGGTTATCCTCGGCCTTCTTGGCGCTTAATAGTTCCGGCGCTACGACCCTCAGGGTGGCGATCACATTTTCGGAGCAATTACTGCAGGTGATCCTCTGGTCGTGTAGCGAGAGATCCTTCGCCAAGAGCTTCATATTCTACAAAGACGGACACACAGCTTTACGTTAATTGCGATATCAGCTCCCGGCACTTTATCAATACTCCTCCTCGCGAAAGAGGGCTCGGACGCGCGAATAATAATTAACGCTTCTTCTCTCCGGAAACGAAGGAATATTTGTTTGCTCCGACGTCCGGTGAGTTTTTCGAGTTTTTCCATCCGCGACGCGACACTCGAACGGCTAATATCACATCCTCCTTAACGGTTGCGTAACACGTGTCCCTTTAAGCCTCCCGCTGGGGAAATTCTGACTGTACATAGAGGGAGACTTGTCCAGGCGCTTCGTATCTCGCGGTTACAAGAATTTAGAGGACGACGATAATAGTTTGTTAGAGCACGCTTTTCAGCGCACTGTTATTTGCCGAATAAACTTTGCGGACCTTGCTGTATCGGATTATATTCCCGAAGTCCACGTGCGCCGTCCGACGCGTCTGTGAACAACTTCACTGTGTGCGGAAAATAGAGACCGTTCACTCCTACCGCGATCTAGCAATTTTTATCTCTACGCTTAATTAACTTTAACGTTCAATTACCGGGCCGTTTAACGCCGCGAACTTAATACATATGTATACAGAGTACGCTTCGGAATTATAAGTGAGGACTTGATTCTCGCTAATTGAGTTCACAGAGAGGAACGAACGGTACTTTTTGCAAACTTTTTGCAGATCCACAAAATAATCCTTCTCGGGATATTCAGTTTTTGTGAGCTACGTACAATTAGACATGTTGTGGGTCAACTGACATCTTAGGAAGTTTACAATCTCGTTTCGAGTAATTATCGCATTATCAGGCGCGATTGTAAATTCGTCTTTTCCTGTTATTTGTCTTGCTTGCAGAAGCTAAGCTTAGTGTTTTTTTTTTCTTTTTAGTTCTTTAGATTCTCTTCCTTCTTTTTTTATCCCGTTAAATGACAAACGATTCTCTAACGCGAATAAGGGATGAGTTGTCTCTCTCTCTCTCTCTCTCTCTTAAATCTATCGCGACATCTGCAAGCAATTCTCTCCCGCATCGACGAAGGAGGGATAATATAGACGCGCGCCGAGTAAAATGCTTTTATGTCGATTCGTTCGCGAATTGCGGCTCTTTAAAGTTTCCTCTCGGAGGTCCTTTAAAGCGCGCTCGTTCGCTCTACGAAGCACCGACGTGTTGCATACAGTCAAGGAGTCAACGATAATGTGGTCGCGTGACCACGTGATCAAGCGAGCACGTGGTCGAGCGGCCAGCTGATCCAACGCGAGAGTGGGGACAAGGCCGCGTAACCTACGAGTGTGTGAGACGTAAACTGTACTTCTCTCTCTATTCCGAGAAGGTGAGACCGTTTAAATGGCTCGAGCCGATACGATCATCGATATTTTCGTTTTCGGAGGTTATAGCGACTTGAAATATAAAAGAAAGAACCGTTGGCAAGCCGAGACTTCCGCATTTCCGATGAGCGTGAGATCGCTTCGCGTCAGGATCACGCGATCAGGATTAATTTACGCAATTGGATCGAATTGGATTGTGACAGGAAATAACGCTCGCCTTCGAGTTGAAGCGAAAATGATTTCACGATGGGAACTGCGAGAGCTCGGTGAGGATTGAGGATTTGCTCATGAGAAGAGTTATTTCGACGCGCTTTTAACTCGTAACTAGAAACGGTAGGCTCGGTGTTAAGTCGTTTCGTTCCAATGAGACGCGAGATGAAGGAACGCACGTCGTCTCCGTGAGCTTGTCTGCTCGCGAATTCTTTCCTATGATCTTTACTAAAGGGACACCTTGTGCCGACATCGCGGCGTCTTTCATATCGACCACGAACAAAAACTCACTGCCTACCTTAGCGACCGTAACGTCGAGCCTCTTCAGATTCTTACAATCAAGTATCACGTTGCATTCACTCTCCCCGGAAAGCTTCATTATGTTAGCACGTAGGCGCTCCGCCGCTGGAAATGCCACTGCCTCTTCAGGTGTCACGATTATTACGGTTTCCCCTGCGATCTGCGCTCACAAGATAAAGACGGGAAAATATGACCCGTTTATTCCTCATTGTACTAATGTCCCGCCCGAGGAGCGGCGGGGGGGGGGCATGTATATTCGTGAACGACGTTTGAGCCTGTTCTTGAGCCTGATTCTTGTTGCTGAACATGGATTGTGTAAATATCGAAATTAAGTCGAACCCCGTCGCGTGATTTGTATTAGAATTGAGAAAAGTAACTCATGCTGGTACGGTGAAGTACTAATTTATAGATAAAAGAAGAGGAACTTTAAGAAAATAAAGCGAGAGAAAAATATTTGCTACTTGAAAAAAAAAATTGAACAAGAGAAGACAACCAGCCTGGAAGATTAATTTGACAAGGGATGATGGGTCTCAATTACGTCTAAGCGATAGCGTCATGATCAGAACGAATTAAGCTGAAAATATAACAGCAGCAGCGATTTAAGGAGGCGGCTTTGTTTACGTAACAAAATGATATTTGTTGAATATTCTTTTTCTTTCTCTTTCTACCTCTTCCTTACGTTAAGAGTCTGTCTCGCGCGGGGGGGGGATTTTTGTCGTTCAGGCTCTTACAAGAACAGAGAAAGGTATGAGTACTGCTCTTTGTATATAACGTACAGAAAAATTAACGTCGCGGAAAGTCGATCGATCCATGTCCTGTAACTGTACCTGTTCGATTTGCGTCTGGATGGAAGGTCGCGCTGAGAAATACAGCAGCGCCATGAGATTGACGGCGATGCCGATCAAGATGCCTATCTCCAAACCGAGAAAGACGCTTGGGACCAATGTCAGCACCATCACGAAGAAATCGACCTCTATAAAAGTATGCAGATGTCTTCGTGTTATTTGTCTTCCGAAATTGAAGCGATGGCTGAGAGAAGGCCGGGCAGACATGTGAATTTCGCGTGTTTGACGGAATATATATATATATATATATTATATTAAAACATTTTGCAATAATGGCACGTTGAGATTTTCGCCGCGAAATTCCCGTTTTAGGTCGACCAAACCTTTTCAGGCATATTTTCAGGTAGGATAATTGTCTGAGCCGAAATATATATTATTTATTATAAATAATATTCCGACACGTGCGTTTTCTTCCTGTAGCCCCGATTAATATCACGGTTTGTAAGAAGCTTTTCCGGCTGTTCTTTTCACTTGAGCTCGAATTATCCGGTAAATAATGTGGGACGTATTTAATATTTCGCTCATTTGCCATATTAAATTCAAACGAGTATCCCACGTCGGGGACTTGTCGTTACGTCATTCTTGTTTATTCCCCGCGGTACTGTCGTTACTCATTTTTGATTAATTTAGAGGCAGATCCATATTAATGCGGCTCCGTCTGCCGAGCGACGTTCATTTCACGCATTTATTAGTATTTTCTGCCTTCGAAAGCTCTGCGGATTTATCTCCGTGAGCTTATCGCGACGGAAAACATTTAGCTTTCGGCTGCTGACACGATCTCGTTAAAATGTATGTTTTTCAAGTAGATCAATCTTCGCAAATCGATGGATGCGACATGAATAAAACAACGCTCAAAATCCGATAAATCCGATATGAATGTCACATGCGAAACACGCCAAGTTATTCCGCACTGAATTTCTCACACACACACACCTAATTTCTCTCTTTCGCAATAACGCGTTTGATGAAAACGAATCTTTAATCTGATCGACAGTCTTCGATAATAACTCTTTTGCAAAAGTCACCTGTGTCGATCGTTCCATCAGCCATGTAGTATCGATCGCACTATCGAGATCTCTGCACATGTGAGCAAAGCCTGTGAGGGCGCGACGAAAGTCGGCGGGAACCGCCGCTGCTCCGCCTTAACAATAAATGCCGCCAAGGACGCGGTCGAGCATTATTGTTTCGTACGAGCTTTCCGCGAGAACAAATGCGCCGCGTAAATGGATCCCGGGTGTGGGCAGCGTACTCGTGCGCTGACGCCGGTTGCTTTGTGCAGCCTGCGCCGCTGACGCCACGCTGCCCGGTTAGACTCTGAGGGTTGATGAATCGGACCAAAGGGAGAATGAAGTGAGAAAGATGGAGAGAGAGAGAGAGAGAGAGAGAGAGAGAGGGAGAGAGAAAGAGAGCGAGCGAGAGGGTGACGGATGAGGTAGAGGAAGAAGAGGAGAGAGGGGAGGAGAAAAAGAAAGAGAAACAAGAGACCGTTTTGGAACTTACTTCTGGCACGCCAGAGCATGACGTACGTCGGAAAATCCAACATGTAGTACATCGCGACGAGGATGAGGCCGGCCAGGGTCGCCTTTGGTATGAAGTAGAAGGTGGAAGTCAAGAGGCTGACCGCGAGCAGCACCAAGACGCCTGAAAGGGCGTTGTAATTAGTAAGGAAGGACGCGGAGAGACGCGCCGCTCCCGCGCTTCGCCGAGGTATGAAGCTACTTGCCTGCGCTACTCGATGTGCACCGAAAGGATTCGTCCTGTTCGCGGGTTTCTCTATTTTTACGTCGTACCGACTCGACGTATTTGATCGTCGGCTCATATCGACGTTATCAAAGGGAACGAGTATTTCTGCGGCGGTCGCTTTTCGTCAGGACACAATAGATATATCCCGCGCGATGGGACAATTGCGGATTCGCGGTGACGACGGTCAGTTTTCTGTTCTGTGCTCGCGTGAACAAAGCAAATTCATTTTCCATAAATAGAAAGAAAAAAAGAAAGGAAAAAGAAGATTGAAAGAAAAAAGAAGTAAAACGTGGTGCTTCGCGGGAAAGAATGTTCGATTAAAAACAAGATTTCGCGAAACGCCAGAGATTTTGCTGGTTAACGTTGACGGGGAAATGCTACACGAAACTTCGTTCCCGTCCTCCCGCGAAACGAACCGCCGTAGGGTCCGACCATTGTCGTGCCGCGTGCCTCTAGCGTAATCAAACCACGAGATTGCGTGAACAAACGGGCCCGATTGGTGTTTAGATCGCGTCCATGGATTCAAAGGTGCCGGGCAAATTTCTATTTACCGCACACACGTACCTGTAAATATTCCTCCCAACGGCGTTCTCACGCCCGACGCATGATTCACGGCCGTTCGCGTGAAGGATCCCGTCACCGGCATCGATCGCACGAACGATCCCAAAATATTGCAGGCTCCCAGGGCGATCATCTCCTGCGTGGCGTCCAGAGCTTTGCCCTTCGCTGAAAGAACTCGCAATGAGCCGTCACCGTCATGAGAGAGGGGATCCGGCTCTCGCACTGAGACAAAGTGTCTGCTACTCGTAATTATGTGACTGCTTAATAGAAGAATCGTAGTCAAAAGAGTTGTTTCTTCTTCAGCAAGAGTTACTATAGTGTGTCAGCGACAATAACGATATCGTAGCTGTTGTATTTTTATTTGGACAACAGTCGAGGCCAAAAATAACTGTAATTTCAGTAACATTAACTCTCTGTAACTGAATTTTTTTTTCGTGAGTATAAGAAAGATTATGTGACATGAAATCAGCAAATATTAACTTCCAGATATAAATTAAATAATTTTAACAATTATTATTTTTTTATTTAGGAAAAGAGTGTCCGGAACTCTTTTCTGAGATCAGATAGTACTCACAAAATGGAGGGAAAAAATCCCAATAAACATGAGTCGTAATTGTCGTAATTGATATTGTCGGAGTTACGAACAATTACGTGTTTCAATTAAAGCAATTACTTCCGGTGCTTTTGTACTCTCCGATGTAATTTGTCTGTTTATAATTTAAATTAAGAATATCGATATACATCGGTATGTGATTTCAAAGTAACATGGCGTTATATAGAGCTGTGCTTTTCTCTCAGTGCGAGAACAATTCGCACTGAGAAAGATCCGTCTCGCTCTCTCCCAAAGCCCGCGTCTTCGTAATCTCGTGAAAGCGGAAACAACTGTACGACCTCCGCTTACCGAAGGCTTTCGCGATGGCGATGTGCTCGATCGTCGACACGACCGGTATCGAGAACAGCCTCGTGCCCATCGCGCTGGCCATTTCCACGAAGCTGTACGTGCGGTTTTGGAAGGTCGTGGAGAACGGCGGAGGCTCGAACGTCGGCAGACCCTGACCCATCGATCCTGGAAACGCTCAAGCCATTATTCGCGCCTCGCGCGGCCAGATGTATCGACGCGCGGGACGTACATTTCAATCGCGACGGCGCCGGCGATGCGCAGCAAGTGATTGCTCTCGCCGACGTATATCGGCAGCTCGCTACGAGAACGTGCCTGTGTCGTTGCGCGATCTGGATGTGAAATGGTAATTATTCTATATGCGCGCGGTGTCGCATGGTGCGATGTTCGCCGATGTGCGATTCCACAACGTCTACAACCGTCCGACGGTTGTCCGGCGATCCGAGGATGGATATCGAAACGGAGCTGCGAAATTCGATGATTAGTCCATCGTAGCGAAAATCGTATCGCGAATTTATCCCGCGGCGCGAGACTCTTCCGGACTGTCGAGTCCGAAAAATTCGAGTGGCGCGGCTAACGGCAACTCGTCGATTAAAATTGCTCGAGGAGATCGCTGATAGCCGAAATTGTTAAAAAAAAAAAAAAGGGAAATCCGTTATAGCATCTCCAAATCGGCAAAAACTAATCCGTCGTGGTACCCAATAAGCATCTCCGTTAAAAAAGGGAAACGGAAACCGTTGATATTAATCATCATAACTCGGAGAATGCGATATTAACGAGCGATCTGTCCACTCACCCGTTAATTTGAAAGGCGTTTTTCCGTTAACATGAAAGATATACGCCATAACGGCGCCGGCAATTACGACGAGCGCGTTGCGTGACAAAGCGACAAGCCAGCCGGCTTTTTGAAAGACGTTGCCTACACGCCGCCCTGGTATGTTCTGTTGGCAGAAAGGACACAAACAAGATTCTATTATTACGGAGCTATCGCGCCCCCCCCCCTCCCCCTCCTATTAACTCCTGCGGTTTCACCGCGAACAACGCAATTGTTTGATAAACGCGCGAAGAAGTAGCCTTGACGCCGGTCAAGGAAAATAAGCAAGGTCTTTATGTAGAATTTTTCACCGACTAAAGGAGAAATTCCCTGCTACGTCGATACACTCTAACAACTTTCAAACGGTGTGGTCAAAGCGAACGTAATTATCGAAGCAAACGCAATTACTGCGTTGCTTACGTTAAGCAAACAGTCCGGACGGTGTGAATAGTTGTAACTCAAACTTGTCGTCAGAACAGGAGCGGGGTTTCTCTCTCCTCTCTCTCTCTCTCTCTCTCTCTCTCTCTCTCTCTCTCTCTCTCTCTCTCTCTCTCTCTCTCTCTCTCTCTCTCTCTCTCTCTCTCCCGGCTTACCCAATGGCGCAGCAGCTTTATACCTTGAGCAAAACCAACACCACGATCGTCCCGACGCCCAGCGCGGTGTCTTGGTACCGGATCTGATTGAGGTTCTTGAAGATCCCGATCAAAGAATCTAGGAAACTCTCGCTCCTGCCGGGAATACCCAGAAGAGATTTGAACTGGGAGGACGCTATGTTGATCGCCGCGGCCGCGGTGAAGCCGGTGATCACCGGCAGCGATATAAAGTCCAATAGAAAACCTTCGGGATAGGGACAGACATGACTTTCGCGAGTTCTTTTAAGCGTATTTATTCTTTTTTGTTTCTTTAAGTGTATTTAAAAACAAAACAGACCAGACGTCTCTTATTCAAGCAAACTTGATCTTCACGCAAGAAGACCGACGAGTTTTACCTTCACCGCGACTCTCTCGCTGACGTTCCACTTACCTAAGTGGAGGATCCCTAGAAGCGCGATGATACATCCCTTCAGGAAAGCGATCAGCACAGCCATGTCGCTGCCGTAACTCGCGACCAAATCCTGAATCATGCTAGCCATGATGGCCGTTGGCCCGATAGTGATGTTCTCGCACGAGCCGAAAACGATGTAGACGAAGGATGCCATGAACGACGAGTACAGCCCGTACTGTAACACACCGCCGAACGGAAACGGAAAGGATGACGCTTCGATTCGCACAAAACGCATCTGTTTTCTCTACGGTACGAATACAGCATTACTCTCTGTCTCTCTCGTGAAACATACCTCAGGACTCAAGCCGGCGACGATGCCGTAAGCGATGCCTTGCGGCACGGCGGTGAGGCCGACCGTGACGCCGGCCAGTGCATCTTGCAGCAGCCACGCGGGTTTGTATCGCGGCAGCCAGCCGAGAACCGGCAACCTCTGCACCACGAAGTCCCGGCATTTATCCTTCTCGTACCACTTGACCACTGAAAGCAGACTCAGCCTTATTTCATGGTCGAATGCGCCAACGTGATTTCTGTCTCCCTCTTTCCCCCTCTCTCCCTCTCTCTCTCTCTCTCTCTCTCGTTCTAAAAAGAGCACGTTATGATAAAATCGCGGCAAAGGAAAGAAGGTCAGATCGAGGTGAGAAACACGTGTCGAACTTTACTGCTCGAACGTCAACCTCCGACGCTCGCTTCCGCGAGGCGTAAGGCGGAAACGAGATAACGCCATTAACGAAGCTGGGAGATTAATGAAGCTGAGAATGAAGCCAGCGGCTGGAAATGAGAAAAGCGACCGAAGGGACGTTACAGATTAAAGAAGCTGTGGACGGGAGGAATGCAGACTCGGAATGACGAGATAAATGCAAGGGGATGATCAATTGCCGCGATGACACGCCAGAAACAGGCAATTTCTTATACGGGGCATACAGGTCTCTCTCTCTCCGTGGTCTCTCGAGGTCTCTCTCTCTCTCTCTCTCTCTCTCTCTCTCTCTCTCTCTCTCTCTCGGCGGACCAGCGTAGCTTTGCATCTCGCAGCTGCAATCTTTGCCGAGATCGTCCTTCATCGCGACACATGTGTATTCGTCGTCGCAGTCCACTTAGTTCCTCAATCGAGAGCTTGATGCGACGAGATACGGCGAGAACAGCACCGGGTCCCGCGGGACACGCTCCGGGAGCGGCGAGGTATTTTCTAAATCTACACGTGCGAAGCACGAGCGCAGGACATAATCCGCTTCCGACGGGGGACAATGCAAGCAACACTGGATGAATGGCGAAAAAGGCAAGCTGCACTGTACGACAGTGATTTCAGGCACGAGTCGCATTCGCTCGCTTACTCACTTTTGCTACCGCTATCGTTCCCGGCCCGCGCTGGGAAAAAAATCGCACGCGTTGTCTCGCGACGATTCTCGCGCGGCTGACCGACTAGCAGACACTCCTCGGACTGGTCGACTGGCGATTAGCGTTAACAATGATTAATTTCTTCGAGGACAGCGATGCTCCGCGGACGAGACCGACCGGGCGTACTCGTCTCGATTTACGATTTGCGGCGAGAACGGCCTCCGGAGGATTCCCAAAATCACCGATTGCGAATCCGTGTCCGCCAACACTTCGCCTCCTCCTACAAAGACGAATTCGTATTTTGGACTGCTGCACCACGAGGAAAACTCACCGGCAAGACGACCCGCGGCAGGCGGTTTATTTAACGGCAAGACGAAAAAGACAACAGATAACATCCTTTCTCCGCCTGATCGAGGTGCCAAAATTATTCGATGACTCAGCACGGGAGAGTCTTGACTGAAAAAACTTCACGAGTGATTGAACACGTCAGCTGTCCTACTCCGTCGAGTAGGAGCGCAGCTCGGTCTATACCCTGTCCATTGGCGGTGATGGCGCGGGTAAACGTTCTGCTTCGCAGTGCATCTACGTGTTCTAAAATTCGGTCGTCGTTTCACGAGAGCCAAGCAACGTGCACTCGAAGTGAACGACCCTGAGGATCTCCGCTCTCTTCTTGGCTATCTTCTTGGCTTGAAGGCAACACGCTCTGATTTCAGATAAGATATCAAAATCACGGTTAACGCAGCAGCGCCGATTTCCCAATCGTTTCCTCTTCATCCTTTTTCTGTTCTCTCTTCTGCGATACTGCAGACATGTTCCGCTCCACGCAGGATATTCTACGTAAAGCTCTCAGTGTGCACTCGATGCGTAAAGATCCTGAAGTCGTTTACCATTTACGGTCGACAGTTTCCCGCTGACTCGATCACTGCGCTCGAAACGGACACCGGTGACGACGGCGCATCACTGTAGCGCTGTATCGCTGCTTCAGCGTTATATAAACAGCTCGCTGCCATTTTGTGTATCGTACGAGAGTAACTTATCAGTAATTAAAGCAGATCGGCCGAGTTATCTCTCGTGATTCGTGATACGAATATACCAAAAGTCGCTGACACTTGCCGCGTCTTAAGGCCCGTTTCACACCAGTCGCAGCGCGACTGTCGCGATGTCTCGCGACGCAGCGGGAGATTCGCGCGAAGAAAATGTGACTCACGCATCCGAGCCGGAATCCATTCAGTTTGTCATTTTCTCTCAAGCGTGCTAGCTGACGTTAGCAAATTAGAGACGGGAATACCGTCACATTTCGCAACGTATCTTATGTCACGATACACATCACAGATTGTATTGCTGGAAATTGCACAATCACAGCCTCAAGGATGAAGAAGGATCGCGCGTCCTACTTATTGGATTCTGACTCGTATGTCCGGTGGAAATTACACAGAGAAGAGAAGCTGGTCGGATTGACGTGATGATGAACGAATGAAACGCGTTTCGTGGCGGCGCGAGGAAGCAGAAATTCCGCCCCACTTCAGCCGCAACGTGCTCGTTCGTTCATTGTCGCGTTTGATTCAAGCAAACTTTTCTTCCCTGCTCCTGCTATCCCTAGACAAGCACCAACACATGCACTCCTGCTTCGAGAAGCACTCCTTCGAGCGGGAGAGCTCTCCCCCGTGACACTAACCCGGTCGATGCATGCCTGCGGAAGAAGCGGGAACTCCGGCTGCGGTGCGATTAATAAAACCGGTGTAAAACCGGCCTAAGCGCGCGTTGCGGTTGCCTGATCGACGTGCCGCAGCGAAACTGAACGTAACGCGGCTCCGTTATGGAAACTTGAAGGATCGCCGATCGCACGAGAGAGAAAGAGACAACCGCGTTTCTCCTTCCGCCTTGCCGCGGCCGCGTTGTTCGTAAGAGAGGGGACACCCGCTATGTTAAGCGAAACTCGCGCCAGACGCAGCAAAGCGAGGCGGGGATTAGCACATTTTGATTATCCATTGTGTAATACCTGCTGCCGGAAAGGACCCGATATGTTTATGGGACACCATAGGTTACGACTCGACGACAGTCTTGACTTTTAGCCGGTGAACCGTGCCGGAGACGATGCAAGCAGAGCAATTAGAAGCGTGTGTCTGCTGGTTCCTTTCTTTCCGCGTCCTTCTTGATTTTCGTCCCGGAACAAAGGCGGAATGTAGGATTCGTCTCGGAAGAATTACGCGGCCGCGAGTCTTAATGAGCGGGATATACCTCTTTGCGCATTGTATTTATATGTGAGCTCGTATCTCTCGACTGTATTCCTGATAACGTTTAATATATCTTTATATTTACGGATTATTCCGCGTGATAACGTCGCGGAGTAATCGAAAAGTATTTTTTTCCAATCACTTCATTGGCAAGATACGTCCGAAACGTGACTGAGATGGCACTCGCTGATATCCGCGATGTAATTTGATGCGAGGGTATATACGGGAAATGATTCCTGCACACAGATATATGTATTGTTTCTCTAATACCTCGCGCACATTTATCGCTAGATTTTTTTCTTCTTACACTGTGGAAGCTTTTGAAAACACACTCGAGCAAAACAACGATAAGCTGAACAGATAAACACCCGAATTACAGGTGCTTTATAGGCACGATAAGCGTCCTCGTTAAAACAATGTCTGTGCATGTTAAACGTCCAGTCTACCTTGAACCAACCTCCATATACATAGCAAGCAAAAAAAAACCACGCTTATCTCTGGCATTAACAAAACGCGATAAGCAATATCGAGTATATTTGCATAGCGACGCACCGCATTAATTTCACAAAAATCAGAGGCCAAGCGCGACGATAATTAAGTCGTTCTCTTTTTCGAGCTCTCTCTCTCTCTCTCTCCGCCCCTCTCTCTCTCTCTCTCTCTCTCTCTCTCTCTCACCGCCCTTATAACGCGATTCTCCGCGTTTACACAAAACGAGACATCACCTATCGGCGGAGGCAGCGGCGCGACAGAAAAATTCAACGGCGCCGGATCCCCATAAATCGCGACCGTTCCGCTCTCGCTCTCTCCTACGGGAGAACGCAATAAGTCATCGCTAGCTGTCACCTCGATCGCGTCATTTCTAGCCCTCCCCTTGGCGTAGAAAGCGCAGGGGAGAACTCTCGATTTCTTTCTACCGCCCGGCCCCCGCCGCCGTCGCCCTCTTCTACTTCTTCTTCACGGCGACGCGACGCGACGCGACGCGACGCGACGCGACGCGACGCCGCCGAGGACCAAAGGGCGAACGCGGCGAGGGTGCAACGCCTGCGCGACGCCGTTTGTTGGGGTGTGCGTCCGCGTTCGCGGGGGTGCCGACGATGAATGAGCCGGCGGCGCTCCTCAGTGCCGCGCGAGCGAAACTGCGAAGCTCTCTCATCGGCGCGAGGCTGGCAAGCGCCGCGTGCAAACGCGCCAACATCGGCACGGAGCATCGCGCCGCGGCGGGTCGAAAACGCGCGACGGAGCCCCTCGGCGGAATTGCGGAATCTTCACCTGTCGTCGTCCGTTTACTCCTGCGGCCGCATCCGACCGCGCTGTCACCTCGAATGACGGCTTTGACAGCGCCTCGGGCCGTCGGAGGCTGCTGTCGTCGCGTCATCGGCGCGATCATTCCCCGAGATTGATGAACACTGACAGATCGCACTCGCGACTCATCTCCGGGCCCGTTGAAGTCTTCGACTCGCGAACTCGCGACTGCCCGAGTCGTCGATCTTCTTCGAGAGTACTGACCGATTCGGTGTACCGTGAAGGTACTCGTCAAACCGCGCAGCCGTGCCGCGATTTTTAACCGACGAGCTCGCTGGACGACGCGATGTAGGCGTAATGGACTTTCCAAGCTCGTCCGAGATGATACGATGACTGATGTACAGCGAACAATAAGCGAGAACTTGGAAAGGACTTGGAAAGAACTCTGAGCCGACTCACCTTTCGCGTCAACTAGCCTCTAGTAGTGTCACAATTTCGAGTCGATGAGTATCGGTTTTGGAGGACTCGACAGTTAGTTTGTTTTTCCACACCGACGCTCTTTTTCCCTGTCTGCCACAGTTGTCAATTTTTATTACCGTAATTATATGGTTACTCTCTCTTTCTCTCTCTCTCTCTCTCTCTCTCTCTCTCTGCAAGTGTGCGTGTATGTGTGCGTGCATCAAATGTATACGTCCATGTGTCACACATTTGACGTACCTCGGTATATATATCCCGACGCCACTTGTCAGTTTCGCTCAACCGGCAGCACATCGAGATTTCCAGCCGATGGGCAGTCACGTTTCGATATTTGTTTGATCGTTGACTTGTCGACGTGCGATCCCTTCCGGGATCGCTCGGTTAATTTGCAATCGCGACCGATATCACAGCGCGTGTCAAATCGCGCGGGAGACTTTTCCAGCCCGACAAGTGAATATATTTCTCGCGCCCCACGTTCGTCGCACGACGTTCGCGTGGGGCCGTTGACGGATTGATACGATCGTTTTCCAGCCCGCTGGGAGCGCGTAACGAAGTCTCGGGTGAAGATTACGGGTTCTTGATCCCGCCGGCCGCGTACGCCCGTTACCCGGACGTGTACGAATCGCTGTTCGAGAGAGAGAGAGAGAGAGAGAGAGAGAGCTACAGTTTCACCGGGACCACGCGATCAATCTTCTCCGCGTCGCTGAGCGTTGACGCGGCGAATTTTTGACAGTTCGATGTGCCGCGAATAAAGGAAAGCGAATAAAAGAAGTGCGATCGTTCCTGATATCTGATGATCTTTCGCGGCCGAACGAGAGATTTGATCAAGAAAGAGTGAGCTAAGAGAGAGAAAGAGAGAGAGAGAAAGAGAGAGAGAGAGAGAGAGAGAGAGAAAGAGAGAGCTCGGATCACAGAGAAAATGTCCCATCATCTACCGAGCGGGCATGTCGTGCTGCGCGAAACGTCACGCCGTTTGCCGCATCTACGTTGGATTAACATCGGACCGCGAAATCCGCCGCGGTGAATGCATCGTTCATCGTCTGTTCCCTCGACGACTCGCTCTGCGACGAGAAAAAGGAGAAAAGTATCACACGCGCCTCGAGTGACCGCAGGATCGGCCACGTCGGGCATCAAGTGCGTAGAAACGACGGCGCCGGTGATCCTCGTCGTGAGAATAATCGCGCTCGAAGAACGATGCGTGGATACGTAAGCGCGATATAATTTTCCACCCCGTCGTCGTTAATCGCGTTTCTTCCGCCGGGAACACCGGCGAGAAACCAAGGTGTTTCCCCGACGCGAGTATGAGAGCAGCCGCAACGCAGCCGCCAAGGACTTGATGCGCAAGACGCGCGGCAATCTCGATCCCGTTGTCTCACGCCGTGAGACGCGCGTTTAACAACGCGGCGTTTCCGCGATCGTGGTCGTTAATTTACGTCACGGACAATCAAATCCCGCCGCTGCTGCAGCTTTGTGGCCGCGTATACACGAGACACGCGGCAGGCGTTTGTGAATGAATGAACGTCGACGTAGATGCGATAATAGAGCAGTCGAAGAGAAACGAGGAGATTTTAATCTTACGAAGTGTTGCTCACCCCATCGTCGCCGTTGCGCCATTTGCCGACGGAAGAAATTTATTAAGGCGTCTCCGTTGTCACTCCGGCACGTTGGCGAGGCGTCATCGGGCGGCGACGAATTAGCGGTGTTCGCGCGCGGTGCTGCAAAGCGCTCTCGCGGCGCGAAACGAGGTGGCAGCTGCCGTCGTCTTCTCACCGTCGCTTCGCGATCTCTCGAAATCGCCCTCGTCCTGATGAGCGTCCTGTGATGTACGTAGTCGAAAACGAGCAGCAGGAATCGCCGTGGGAAGCCGCGAGACAAAGAGGCGTAATGGCACGTACGGAGCTTGATTTTGTCGGCCGGGACAACGCGAAGTGAGTAGAAAATTCATTAAGCGGCTCGTAACGGAGGAGGCGCGATAAAGGTAGATTGCCGAGTTGATCCTTCGAATGATCGCGAATTTAGGCCGATTTACGCGAAAATTCCAAGGAAATGCAAAGAATCGGGCTAACACGAGGCCGTCAACTTGATTCTTGGCTTTGCCTCTTCGTGTATTTACGGATCCGCAGTCGGCGCAGCTTTACTTTTCTCTTTCGCGAGTCAACTGTGAAGTCCTTTCTTTTTTTGTAAGAAGATGTTAACAATATTGTTGGTGACAATATTTTTTGCAAACGTGTCCTTCTTCGCACCATTCTCCGTTCTCCATTGTCTCCATTGTCGATTATTCTCGTTATCTTTAGAATACTTTTTTTAGTTTAAATTTTTTACGCGTCCGTTTAATGTAGGGAACTTACGGTTTGCTGTGAACCGTTCACAGCTTCGATACAGCGCGCAACGTGACTTTTCGCTGCAATTTGGTGCCTAATTTCGACCGATTCATAGTTCGCGCGTGTATTTACGTTCTGAGATTTCACCTGAACGAATGTTTTTTGATCAACAGCGTGTACATGTTGTCGCTGTTATTTAGCGCCATGCGAAATAAAAGCAAATAGGCACGGTATTTTCCCCATGCTGCAAGATCTCAATTTCGAGCGCGAAGAGCATCGCCAGATTACATTCTGGTGCGCTCCGAAACACACGTTACCTCCTAAACCTTTATTATGGAAAATAAGCTAAAAATCCATCGATTGTGTGCAAGTTATAATAATTTCTTCGGGCATTTATTGTTCACTTATCAATCAGTCAATCGCATTGACATGAAAACGAATGTTGATATTTAACTTTTTTTTATAATTTTGTAACATTCAGTAGTTATATATATATATATATATATATACATTAAAAAATATATATATACTAAAATTCTATTCTAAAAATATACATAAAACTGTACTGGGAAATTTGCAGGTAGGGAAATCAGCACGGAAAATTGATTTTGCTTTTATTTTTGCACATGGATAACTACAATTTCCTGCGTTTGTAAGTTTACAATACGTTGCGCAGTTTCTCCGTCGCACACGCACACACACACACATGCATGCATACAATTTTCCTCATTAAATTTTACGCTAAGTGACATATTGAATATAACTCTCTGCTGTTAATTATTGCTGATTTTACACTCATTCGAAATACGTACATAATTTTGCTACGCGTGTAAAGGAAAAGCTAATTAAATCTCGTGTCATTTAATTGAAATTTTACTGCATAAATTTGCATGGTCTATTAAATAAATTAAATGATAACGTGAAAAGTAAGATGACAGAGGGAGAAGAGCGTGCCTCCCTCGCTGTACAACCGCGTACGCGTGCGTGTACGTGCGAAATTAACGACATTACATCCTAATGGTCAATAAAAAGTAACGTTATATTCATGCAAAATCGCTATTCGCGTCGTATATCACCGCGCTGCTGCCCGGCGTTGGATATCTCAATTAACGGCCGTACAGCCAATTCACCTAATTAGAACCGTGATTTTATTTCGACGAATTACATGTCGTATCGTTCGGAGACGAATTTGGAATAAGTTACATCGGGGCGAGGATGTTTTTAGATGGAATTTATGATGATCGTTACGAGACCGTAGGGATCATAATTTTCGTACAGAATGGAATTATCAGAGATCCCGAAATTTGTAACGCCATTCGCAGGTTCTGCGGGAGGTTAAGGGGCGTAATTCGAAGACTGGGGGATAGGAATGCCTAAGACAGTCACATATATTTCAGTTTAATCTCGCGATATCAGAATAATTATCGTTACATCTACCCCTCCGCGGCCATTCTAGACTCCGTCGAAACGTTACATCGCGCATTACCGCCACTCGCCGCGATCGTAAATAAAAATGACTTCCCGAAATATAAAAGAGAATGAATGTCGATTCGACATATCGGGCAAAATAACGGACAACACGCCGCCTTGTCTCTTTCAATACGTGTAATGAGAGAAAGTAATACGCATTGTCCGTTTTTAATCAATATTCATTACATCTGCGGTATTTTTCGTATCTCTATATAGATTGAGACTTTGGACGAATTTCGAACCGACGATTTTTCCAGGAACATAATACCAAAAATTTTCTTCACAAGTTATTTTGACATGATAAACGTCTTTGCGCGACTAATTTCCTCTCCAGTAAGTTAGACCCAATTAAAGAGATCGGCTAAAGTCCGTTCGAGATTAAAGGGAGAAACACACGCACACATACAGGAGCACATATACATCTATTATTTCCATTTGCACTTTAGAAATTTAATCTTTGAAAGCACATCGCTTCCAATTGCTTATATAATGTAAAAACTGTCGTTCTTGATATTTTCCCAGAGAATCTTCATAAGTTACGTCTGTTTAGTCGTGTCTGTCTGATTCAATGTTTGTTCATCCGTTGAAACGTTAAAGGTCGTGCGTCTCTTTCTTTTCCTCATTTTTTTTTTTGTAGTGAAACCCGGATTTAATTTCAACGAATGGAGCCGAGAGATATGGTTATCCGATAGTACTAACCAACTTTTACCTCTTCATTCTCCATTTTTTTTACATACTGGCTTTAGAACTATCCCGCGGGTTAACTCCGTGCATAATCCTGAAATATCTGGCAATTGAAGGCGTCGATTTATAGACGTAGCCGTTGAAAACTTTAAAATTGAGTTGAGAACTATAATACATAACACGCCCTTACGTACAAGTAAATAAATAATTAGTAATCATCATTTATAAGGATTCGTTTGTTCTCTTCGAGACTGATTTGGCTTATTAAAGTTGCCAATTTTTCTCATACTATTTTTTTCACTTTTTCATTATAATTATATTATTTTTCAATCAATCAACTGATATATATATAAAAGATAAATCGTCATCCTTCACAAACGATAACCATATATGGTGGCCAATGATTTAATGGTGTCATCGACATTGAATAAATTTTTTTGTATATTGACATTTTTATCTGCCTTTTGACCTGTCCCCTTATTCTGAGAGTCGGAGATTATCATGCGTAATAACGCAACCGCTTCGATAGCGTCATCGTTATTACCAACGTAGAGTTTATCGAATTGTCTTACGTAAGCTATAAATAACTTTCGACGTTCCGTATAACAACGAATTGACACGTTCGTTAAAATGTCAGGCGTGATACGGCCCCCGATTACTTTTTTTCACACGCACATCACAGCGATATCGCGGTGATTTACTTCTCGAGTGACAAGCGATATTTGTACATCATTGAGTATCGAAAGGGAGAATAACAGGGTCTGGTCTAGTCAATTTTAGCTCAGGCCCGATATCGTTCGATCGATTGCGATCTTATCGTCGAATCTTTCGATTTGTTCACCGTCGTCTAGTGCGACAGTGCACTCAAAACAGATCTCGCTCCGTTTACGTAATTAATTAAAATTGTTCGCAAATACATCGCGAGTAATGATAAATAACAATATGTCGCAAATAATTATTTGCGATATTAAACCAAGGCATGTAATAAATAAGCACTCAATATTCTATACGGACTAACGGTAATCGCAATGCAAAATATTACTCAGTATTACTGGTATTGTAATTCATACGTAAAATCAATTTAAAATTGCACGGATGGATTATAACTGTGCCACATTATGGCGCACCTGGTGTTGGCGCGCAAGCCATAAACAGATTTACAATCCCGTAAATCTGCTGACGTTAGGAAAGTTATTTGCATTTTTATCGTAAACAGTTCACAGTCGATATCCTTTTAATATGCACACAGAAATATATCATGCGAGAAAGAGGTCATAGAAGTAAATATTAAAACGTTGATTTACAATACTCTTGCCTTGCTGAGAACACTCAATGCATTTACATCGTATTTATTATCATCTTTAACTTATAATACTTACATAAGAATGATTAATCCGTGCGAATTATTAAAGAAATTAGTAAGGAAATGATGCCACGAGCATTACACCGGCAAAATTGCACCGTGATTTTCTGCGCCGTCGCGCATGAAAGAAAACAACAAAGGGTACAAAATTTTTAATGAATATCATCGCGTAACTACTACGATAAATTATTTTCTTTTCTTCATTATTCCTTCTTCCTTTTTCTTTGCGTCGAGGCAGCTTGAGATTTTTGCCGCTTTAAATGAACACTTCAAGTTTTTACCCATCGTGAAGGGGGGACGAAACCATCGGGTTCGGTTCTCACGCCACACACGTACTCCTACATTGTTAGACGGAAAAAACTTATATCCTTGAATAGCAAGACTAACCATTACATCGTCATTTAATGCTCGTACGAGCATCCTCAAAAGATTTTTACGAAGCAGAGAAACGCGCGTGTTCGAAAAGCGCGGCTTAACGTGAAAGCCGCTCTATTGAAGATGAAATAAAAAAATTTCAATAATAAAACGAAGTAAATCTTAAGTTTGCAAATTGTGTAACAATGAACGCAAGTAGAAAAAAGGCATTAGTTTCTTTTAACAATAACGTTGCCTTTAACAATTAACAATAACGTGCCCCGGAATTACGGTTGCATAACACAGCAGCCAAAGATATCATGTCTCCGGAGATCGATAACGTCATAGTGTCTCGGAAAAGCGAATCCCACTAACAGGGTTTCACTCTTAACAGAATTTGAGGCCGAATTGTCCGTGATGAAAATTTTATCCTAGAAGAAGGTTCAAGGGTATAAACATCCAAGTATCCGAGGATTTAGGGATTCCACGGCCTAAAGATGTAAACGCGCAAGAAGTAAATATTCAAGAATATCTAAGGAGCTGCGGGGATAAAAGGATTCGCCAAATCCGGAAGATCTAAATGTCCAATCGTCAAAAGATTTAAACGCTTTTTAACGCAGAACGATTAATTCAAGTTGCGAGAGAGTTACGATTTTAGACCAGATGCGAATCAATTATGAATTTCGGTATGTATGAAAAAGGAAAGGGACAAAGAAGGAGAGAGATAGCGTGAAAA